TGTGTGTGATATGAATGAAGGTGATAAGATATGAGGTGGAATGCAAACAGGGGTGAATAAAGATGATGGTATGGTGCAATCACAATCAATCAACAATTCCTCTTAACCATCATAGTCATTGAAGTATAAGAGGTTATCAATCCAAAATGGGAAACTTGTCACTCTTTGAGAATATGAAACAACCAGAAAGTCAAGCAAGCAGTTATAGATTTGAAGTAACACTAACAACCTAAAAAAATGAAAATGCAGTGCAATAAAAGTAAACAAAGCAGTAAAGTAAGTCAGCTCGACCAAGACTCGAGTCGAGCAGAGCACCAGCTCGATCGAGTTTAGGGACGAGTTGAGACAAAAAAGCTAAAGGTGACGACTTTAACAAGATAAAGAGAGAATTAGGGTTCAAGACAGGGTTTTGCAATCAAAGGAATCTACACTTAATCAATCTAGCTCTTAAAACTCCTTGTATCAAGGCTTCTCTTGATATTGGGCTTCTCAATGCCTAGCCAACCCTTTCCCAAGGTGGAGGCTATCAACCAAGGAATGATCTCAGAAACAGGGGGTTAGCCAGTGAGAATCAAACCTTGGAGGCTATAGGATCATTGCCCAAACTAATCCATCCAACCCCTTAGACCTCTATTGTCTAGAGCAAGAGATATTGGAGCTCTTAGTGGATCTTTTCCAGCGAATGCCATCACTTTCGTGTGGGGAGTCGCCTAAGGACTTACAAGCCAGGGGTAGTGGTCATGTAGCCTTAAGATCTATCCAAAAGAGAGAGAATCTAGATTAAGACCATAAGCTAGAAGGATTAAGCATATGAAACCTCTAATCTATCCCATCTCAAACCCTAATGGGTAACTACTCACTACACATGAATGTAAACACAAGCAAATGCAATAAAAGAGACATCATAAGAAAGAGGAGATGAAATTAAACAACTTTTATTGAAATAAGCAAGTGCAAATACAAAGAAGATTAATCCAGGATCTAAGATTCAAGAAGCAAGAGCTTCAAGAACACAAAGATGGGATTAGGGTTCTAAAAAGTAAAGACAATAAAAAAAGCTAAAACAAAATAATCTAAAGCTTGGTGGTTTTTTCGTGGCTTAGAGCCTTTAAATACAAGAGGATTAGGTTTAGGGTCAAAGGAAGTCAAGGGGGAAGCAACATTTTTCGGGTTTGACTTTGACTTCCCCAGCTCGATCGAGTTGAAGCTTGGCCGGTCGAGTTGAGGAACTCGACCGGTTGGTCGAGTGGACGGTCGAGCTGGTCTTCAAGATGGCTTCTCCCTTCTTCCTTTGCGTATCCAGTTGAGCTGCTTCCATGTGCCAAGTCCCTCCATGCTCCTTCATGTCCCATATGCTCCAGAATGCTCCAAAAGACCTATTTCAAAGGACCAAACATGCATATGTATGCAAATGCAACCTAAAACTAACATGAATGCATAAGAAGAGAAAAGGAACAAGATATGATGCAAATGGAAGCTAAAACTATGCAAAAGATGCATAAAAGATGTGCTAAAACTATGTAAAATGCAAGTACATCAGTACATGGGGAGCTCATCCTCCTCTTGCTCTTCCTCAACCTCTTCCATTGGCTCATCTTGGTTCCCCTCTTGATCATCTTCATCAACCAATTGGTTCACCTTTTCTCCCTCCTCATCACTCTCAGTTTCCTCACTGCCTTCCTCATTTGGAGAGCCATTTCCCCCCTCTTGAACAAAGTTCACTCCAATCTCAAACTCCCCTTGCTCACTCTCACTACTTATAGGGTCATTCCTCTTCTTGGTTCTCCTTTCTTCCCTCAGCCTCTCACTCTCAGATTGTTCCTCAGAGTAGACATACTCCTCTGCATCAGACCCTTCCATCCTCTGATCCATCCTCTTCAAATCGGCTTGCATCTTAAGCCTTGTCTCTCTTGCATTGCTTGACTCACCCTCAACCATTCTCCTCTGTGAAGCGCGGCTTCCCTCATTGTTTGTCATCCTTGTTACTCTGTTTCTTCACTAAAGTACCTGAAATGCATCAAAGATTACAAAAAATTAGAGTTGCAATAATCGGTTTGGTCAACTCGACACCCAGCTCGATCGAGTCAAAAAACTCGAGTGATAAACTCGATCGAGTTTGGTGAAAACAGAGTGTAACCAAACCTAATTCAAGATTAAAAGCTGGAAAAGATGATAATCAACCAAATTGAACCAAGAACAACTAGTAAATGGAACAATGAGCAACTATAGAGATCATCTTAACCAAAACCAAACTCAAATTCAATCCTTCAAGCACATGCAACAAGTTCTTATGATAAAACATAGGTGAGGTGAGGCAAATTAACAGTGGTAAACAAATATGAGGCAGGAGAAGTGATATTAAAGCAATTACTCAAGGATAATCCCATAAGGGACACATGCAATTAAAATTCAAAGAGAAAACAAGCAATAATGGAAATCGTAATGGATGAATGAAGGGTTATATGGTTCATACCTTGTTGAATGAGGAATTGAAGAGCAGTAAACAAAAACCCAAGCAAAACAATTGAAGAACAAGAAGAAATCGCAAAAACTTTTAAGAGAGGAAGGTTGAAATTTCGAAAGTTTCTTGTGGTGATGAGAGAGAGATAGGTTTCAGAAATTTTAAAGTGTGGGAGAGTGGGGAAGGTGGATTCGATCGAGTTATGGGGGAGAGGGTGTTTGAGATGTGTGGTTGAGATTAAAAGATGAAATAAAGAGGGAACAAGAAACTAGGGATTCTCTGATCAAAATAGGGTAGTGGGGGGACCAAAATCAGCTTGTGGGACCCACTCCCTTGACCAAGAAAACGGTTATGAATTTGAAATTCCCATAGCTTGACCTTTACCTTCTAGGCATTGGTTGAGCTAGTCCCACCATCAAGGGTGATAGTGAGGACTTGAGACAGAAGCTCCTTTAACTTCGTTACTGTCAATTGTGGCACAAAAGTCTGAACCTCTAGGCTGCAAGCGATATGACACCAAACTATTCACCTTGTGAAGGATCACTTCTTGCTTGTGAAAGTCAATTGAAGCGCCAACTGTACTAAGGAAAGGGGTTCCCAATAACAAAGGCAAATCCTTCTCTTCTTCCATTTCCATCACAGTGAGATCAGTTTGGATGATGCATTCTCCAATTTTCAAGTGATAGTTCTTGAACACTCCAAGAGGAGACTTAGTAGTTGCATCTCCAAAGATGATTGAAGTAGTAGGGCGCTGCAAGGCTCCAGCTATGCCTAGCTTCTCTGCCATGGAGAGAGAGATCAGATTGATGCTTGCTCCAGAATCCACTAAGGCATTGTCAATCTCAAGATGCCCAAGTGTGCAAGGGAGAGTGAATTTCCCTTGATCCTTGACCTTTGGTAGGAAGGTGGGTGAAGTAAGCAGGTTGAACTGATGAGTAGACTCTTGTAGGACCTCTGAAACTTTATCACTGTTGGCTAACATCCTTGACCATTTGCATTTGATCAAATGCCTCACTCATGCTATCCATAGAGGCAACTCAATTCCAATCCCACTGAGATCTCTTCTGAACTTGTGAATCACTTCCTTGTGACCTTGACTAAGTAGGCGAGACGAGGAAGCGGCAACCGGTTGATAAGGATCAAGCAAAACAGGCTGTCGGACAGAAGAGGTCGGACTCGATCGAGCTAGAGTTGGACTCGATCGAGCTGCCGATCGAGCTTGTCGTGCGAGCTCAACTGGTGAAGTGTGAATGGCCACAGTAGGTGCATGCACTTCTGGTTGATCAATCTGGACTCCAGGAGCCTCAGCAGCAACAATCTCTTCATCATTCAGCAGTAAACAAAAATCTTCAATGACCCTTTCTTGATCCTCTTCTTCAACAAGTCCTTCTTGAGTGAAGATGACCTTGCACTGTTCCTTGGGGTTCTGAATAGCTTTACCAGGTAGTTGTCCTTGCTTTGTAGCAGCAGCAACAGAAGAAGCATGATTCTCCAGAGAGTAAACCCTTGTGTTGAGGTTCTCGATCTTAGAGTTTATTTCAGCTAGCTTCTTGCTTGTGTCCACTACCCCATCAGCTTGCCCTTGAAGTAGTTGCTTTAGCATTGCTTTGAGCTCATTCTCTTGTGAAGGTGCAGGCTGGGGCGGTTGGTGGGGGAAGCCTGGTGGGATATTCATTTGTTGTCCAGGGAAAGTGCCTTGTGGTCCTTGGTAATTGTTCTTTTGACCATACCCATGTTGTGGCACCTGACTCGATCGAGCTGCTTGTTGTTGAGGATATACTTGGTCCTGAGGGTTAGCAACATCAGTGTTGCGGTATGACATGGCAGGGTTGGACTTGTAATTATAGTATCCTTTGTTGTAACCTCCTTGCCCATTGCTCATGTAGCACACCTCAGCAAATTGTGTATCCTCCCCTTCTTGGACTGGTTCCATCTCCTCAGCAGACACAAAGTTGACTTTCTTCATTGTGGACTGAGCTAGGATCAGCTTATCCAACTTCTCATTCAATGCCTTAACATCTTTTCTCAACTTTTCGTCTGACTCGATCGAGTGGTGGGTCGAGCTCCGGTTGGTGCGATCATACTCTTCTCCATAGCTTCCATTTGAGTTAGCTATGTTCTCCACAAGTTGCCAGCCATCATCTACATCCTGGTTGAGGAAGTTCCCATTGCTAGCTGTGTCTAGCATCTCCCTATACCTAGGCAAGCATCCTCTATAAAGAGTGGAGAGTAGGATTCATTGTTGAATCCATGGTGTGGGCACTGACTTGTGTAGCCTTTGAACCTCTCCCAAGCCTCTGCGAATGTCTCATTGTTTCGCTGGATGAAGCTGGATATCTCTCCTCTAAGCTTGGCTGTGCGACCGGTGGAGAAAAACTTAGCAAGAAAGGCCTTCTTGCATTCATCCCAAGTGGTGATTGTGCCATGGGGCAAGCTCTTCTCCCATTGGTGAGCTTTGTCAGCTAGAGACATAGGAAAGAGTCTCAGCTTGATGGCATCTTCAGAGACACCATTGATCTTTGTCAAATCACAAAGCCTATCAAACTCATCAAGGTGGTCAATGGGGTCTTCACTTGGCAATCCATGGAACATCTTGTTCTGGACAAGGTTGATCATTCCCAGCTTGATCTCAAAGTTGTGGTTCTGCACTGGTGGTGGAACAATCCCTTGTCTCTGTTGGTGGCGGTTTGGAGCATCTCCTTGACCAATCGGTCGAGTTTGCCTAGCTCGACCGAGTCCATGACCCAAAGGGTTTCCATTCCCTTCTGGTACATCCATTGTATCAGCAACAAGCACCTCAGGTTCCTCTTGTACCCTCTGTGACCTCTGAACCCTCTTTCTACCCGTTGTAATGTCTAGCTCGACCAAGTCTTCAGTTGACCGACTCGATCGAGTTCGCATACACCTGCAAAAAGAGACAAAAACCCAGCAGTACAATAGAACAGGGGTGGTATAGCTTGATCGTCCAAGTGTGTTTGAAACTCAAATGCAACAAAAATATTCCCAAATCGGCAACGGCGCCAAATTGATGATAGGATTTTGTGTGTGTGTGATATGAAATGAGGTGGAATGCAACATGGATATGGTATGGTGCAATCACAATCAATCAATTCCTCTTAACCATCATAGTCATTGAAGTATAAGAGGTTATCAATCCAAAATGGGAAACTTGTCACTCTTTGAGAATATGAAACAACCAGAAAGTCAAGCAAGCAGTTATAGATTTGAAGTAACACTAACAACCTAAAAATAATGAAAAGCAGTGCAATAAAAGTAAACAAAGCAGTGAAGTGTCAGCTCGACCAAGAGCTCGAGTCGAGTAGAGCAAAGTACCAGCTCGATCGAGTTTAGGGACGAGTTGAGACAAACAAAGCTAAAGGTGACGACTTTAACAAGATAAAGAGAGAATTAGGGTTCAAGACAGGGTTTTGCAATCAAAGGAATCTACACTTAATCAATCTAGCTCTTAAAACTCCTTGTATCAAGGCTTCTCTTGATATTGGGCTTCTCAATGCCTAGCCAACCCTTTCCCAAGGTGGAGGCTATCAACCAAGGAATGATCTCAGAAACAGGGGGTTAGCCAGTGAGAATCAAACCTTGGAGGCTATAGGATCATTGCCCAAACTAATCCATCCAACCCCTTAGACCTCTATTGTCTAGAGCAAGAGATATTGGAGCTCTTAGTGGATCTTTTCCAGCGAATGCCATCACTTTCGTGTGGGGAGTCGCCTAAGGACTTACAAGCCAGGGGTAGTGGTCATGTAGCCTTAAGATCTATCCAAAAGAGAGAGAATCTAGATTAAGACCATAAGCTAGAAGGATTAAGCATATGAAACCTCTAATCTATCCCATCTCAAACCCCAATGGGTAACTACTCACTAAACATAAATGATAGCTGTTGTCCAGATAGCTGATCCAGATAGCTATTTTCATATTCATATTCCTCTTGCTTGTCCAGATAGCTGATCTCCACTTTGAGACAGTTACCCACCTTAAACCTAAGCCTTTTTCATTTCAAACCCCATATTATCTCTTGTGCGATTGTGAGAACCTTTCTTGGCTTTGCTAGCATAAGGTGTTGTGTTTAAACCGGCAGGGGCAGTAGTTCTAGTTGTCTAGTTCTCTTGGGATTGTTTTCAGGCTAAGTTTGGGGGTGCCAACTCGAGCTCGATCGAGTTGGGTGTAAAAACCAGAAAAGTGGTAAAAGTTGGGAAAATCCAAAGGAAAAAGAGTTTAGTTAAGTCCAGGGAGTTGGCAGTGTTTAAAAAGGGTCTAGTAAAGGTTTGGGAAGTTAAAAAAAGAAAGTAAAAAGGGTTCTAAGTAGAAAGAAAAGAAGGCAAAGCCTCAAGTGTCAAAAGAAGAAAAGTTCCCTAAGTGTTTAGAAATCCCAAACCGCTAGATGTTACCTCAAGAAGCCTCTCCCTAGGATGTTCTTAAAAGAAAAGTGAGCAAAGCTCCTCAGTTTCAAAGGCGAAATGCCAAAAAGGGTAGTTAGGATTTTGTTCTAAAAAGCTCTAAGTGTTGAACTCGATCGAGTTAGGATTAGGCGGCTCGAGTTGCTGTCCTTGCACCATCTTTGGTTCTAACACTTAGCCTTCTGCCAAAGCAAAGCCACTTTCTTGAGAGATCCCTGTTACTAAACCACCATACAAAAGAGACCCTCTTTGTCTCTTGACCCATAAACCCTTGAAACCAAATGAGTTGATTGATCTTGCATGTTTTTGGTTCACTGTTTTTGCTTAATGAATGTTAAAGGGATTTGCTGATTTGAATGCATTGTTTGAGTGACTGTGAAGTGGGATTGATGTTGATAAGCATGGTTAAATCTTAATGAATATCTCTCACCTTGTTGCATTCTAGAATCTCTAAGTTGGACATTTAGCAAATCGCTTTTGAGGGTTGAATCAATTTGTTTTCAAACCTCATCCCTTTCTTGTTCTATTTGTTTGCTTGAGGGCAAGCAAAGATCAAGTTTGGGGGTGTTGATGTACTTGCATTTTACATGGTTTTAGCCCTTCTTTTATGCATCTTTTGCATAGTTTCATTCACCCAAGCATCATTTCTTGATGTTTTCCCTTCTTTTGCATACATAGTAGTTTTAGGCTTGCATTTGCATACATGTGCACGTTTGATGTCTTAATCAGGTCATTTGGAGCTAATTGGAACATTGCCTATCACTGGAGACTAGTTGAGGAAGGAAAGACTCTGTCTGCCCCATGTACGGACCCGCACTCGGTCGAGCTAGTGAGATGCGTCCGAAGTATCGTATCAAATGAAGGGTTTCCACTCCGATTCAGCCTCTGACTTCTTCTTGGAAGTTGTGGATAATTGAGTTAGCTTTCGTCTGGAGGTGGTTTCATGTTTCAGAAGATACGACGATATTGGTTGGACTCGACCCACCAGCTCGACCGGCCAGTTTCCAACTCGATCGAGCTGCTTTTCCAGGAGTCAAAGTCAAACCCGAAAAATGTTGCTTCCCTTTGACTCCCCTTTGACCCTAAACCTAGTTTGCTTTACTATAAATGGCATTGAGCCACGAATTAAACATAGCTTTTGCTCAACTTTTATTTAATCTTGTATTTGCATTTCCCTTTTTACTTTTTAGCCTCTCTTTGTGTTCTTGAGCTCTTGCTCATTGAACCTTAGATCTAGGCTTTATTATTGTATTTCTGCACTTCTCTATTTCAATAAAAGTTGTTCTATATCATCTCCTCTATCTTTTGATGTTTCATTCATTGCATTTGGTTGTTTATTTCACCATGATTAGTGAGTAGTTCCCTTTAGGGCTTAAGATGGGATAGGTTAGAGGTTGTTTATGCTTAATCCTTCTTGCTTATGTTCTTAATCTAGAAATCTCTCTCTTTTGGACAAACCTTAAGGCTACATGACCACTATCCCTGGCTTGTATGTCCATAGACGATTCTCCACATGGAAGTGATGGAAATCGTTGGAAAGGTCCACTAAGAGCTCCAATAACTCTTGCTCTAGAAATGGAGTCTATAGGGGTTGGATGGATTAGTTTGAGCAATGATCCTATGGCCTCCAAGGCTTGATTCTCACTGGCTAACCCCCTGTTTCTGAGATCAAGTCTTGGTTGATAGCTTTCACCTTGGGAAAGGGTTAGCTAGGCATTGAGAAGCTCAATATCAAGAGATACCTTGATACAAGTTGTTTAAGAGCAAGACTGATTAAGTATAGCCTCCCTTTAGCTGCAAAACCCTGTCTTTAACCCTAATATTCGCATTAGCATCTTAAAGTTTGCACCTTTATCGCTTTTCATTGCATTTCCTCTGTTTTTACACCAACTCGACCCTCAACTCGATCGAGCTCACCAACTCGATCGAGCTCATCAACTCGATCGAGCTCTTGGTCGAGCTCATCAACTCGATCGAGCTCTTGGTCGAGCTCCTTGCATCTGCTTGTTCTTGTTAATTTCTTGCATTTAGCTGCTTTCTTTTACATTCTGCATTGCATTTCCGTTATATTAGGTTGTTTAGTTGTTACATCCCTCCTTTTAATCATTTGGCTTGACTTTCTTGTGTTTGCATATTCTCATAGAGCAACATCTCACCCTTATGGATTGATAACCCTTTATACTATAACGTCTATAATGGTTAAAGGGAATTGTTGACTGTGTTTGTGTTTGCATCTTACCACCTCATCATTTACCACTGTTGCATTCCACCACATCTCATTTCATATCTATCACATCACACACAAATCCTATCATCAGTACACTGGGGTGTTGTTGCGGCAAGGTGTTTGGATAGGTGGAGTATGTCCCTTGTTGTCCATAGGCAATGTTATATCCTTGCTGAAGATTCCTAAAACCTCCTTGTCTATTTTGAATATAGCAAACCTCATGTTGGTTCTCCTCCCCTTCCTGGTCTTTAACTTGAGCTTTTCCAGAGACATAGTTGAAATGCTTGACAGGGAATTGGGCTAGGATCAGTTTGTCCAACTTCGAGTTCAGAGCAAGCATATCTTTTCTCATTTGTGCTTCCAGCTCGATCGAGTGCGCGGTCGAGCTCCAGTCTGTACTCTCATAATGTTCTCCATAGCACTCAGTTGATATGGTCATGTTCTCCACTAGTTCATCTTATGCACTACAAGTCAGTTTCCTTAATCTGGAGTCACAGAGGTACAGTTCAGACTTCATACCTCTTCTGGTTCCCAAATTAGGTCCATTTGATGTTCCTCCCTTGGATTGAGACCGTTTCACTCATGTTTGTCCTCATAGTCATGTGTAGAACCTATTAATCCATGTTTGGGTTAAGTATGGGTCCATCTAGTTCATCTTATACACTACAAGTGAGTTTCCTCAATGTGGAGTCACAGAGGTACATTTCGGACTCCTTACCTCTTCCGGTTCCCAAATTTGGTCCATTTGATGTTCCTCCCTTGGATTGAGACCGTTTCACTCATGTTTGTCCTCATAGTAATGTGGAGAACCTATTAATCCATGTTTGGGTAAGTATGGGTCCATCTAGTTCATCTTATACACTACAAGTGAGTTTCCACAATGTGGAGTCACAGAGGTACATTTCGGACTCCTTACCTCTTCCGGTTCCCAAATTGGTCCATTTGATGTTCCTCCCTTGGATTGAGACCGTTTCACTCATGTTTGTCCTCATAGTCATGTGTAGAACCTATTAATCCATGTTTGGGTAAGTATGGGTCCATCTAGTTCATCTTATACACTACAAGTGAGTTTCCACAATGTGGAGTCACAGAGGTACATTTCGGACTCCTTACCTCTTCCGGTTCCCAAATTAGGTCCATTTGATGTTCCTCCCTTGGATTGAGACCGTTTCACTCATGTTTGTCCTCATAGTCATGTGTAGAAGCTATTAATCCATGTTTGGGTAAGTATGGGTCCATCTAGTTCATCTTATACACTACAAGTGAGTTTCCTCAATGTGGAGTCACAGAGGTACATTTCGGACTCCTTACCTCTTCCGGTTCCCAAATTGGTCCATTTGATGTTCCTCCCTTGGATTGAGACCGTTTCACTCATGTTTGTCCTCATAGTAATGTGGAGAACCTATTAATCCATGTTTGGGTAAGTATGGGTCCATCTAGTTCATCTTATACACTACAAGTGAGTTTCCTCAATGTGGAGTCACAGAGGTACATTTCGGACTCCTTACCTCTTCCGGTTCCCAAATTAGGTCCATTTGATGTTCCTCCCTTGGATTGAGACCGTTTCACTCATGTTTGTCCTCATAGTCATGTGTAGAAGCTATTAATCCATGTTTGGGTAAGTATGGGTCCATCTAGTTCATCTTATACACTACAAGTGAGTTTCCACAATGTGGAGTCACAGAGGTACATTTCGGACTCCTTACCTCTTCCGGTTCCCAAATTTGGTCCATTTGATGTTCCTCCCTTGGATTGAGACCGTTTCACTCATGTTTGTCCTCATAGTCATGTATAGAACCTATTAATCCATGTTTGGGTAAGTATGGGTCCATCTAGTTCATCTTATACACTACAAGTGAGTTTCCTCAATGTGGAGTCACAGAGGTACATTTCGGACTCCTTACCTCTTCCGGTTCCCAAATTGGTCCATTTGATGTTCCTCCCTTGGATTGAGACCGTTTCACTCATGTTTGTCCTCATAGTAATGTGTAGAACCTATTAATCCATGTTTGGGTAAGTATGGGTCCATCTAGTTCATCTTATACACTACAAGTGAGTTTCCTCAATGTGGAGTCACAGAGGTACATTTCGGACTCCTTACCTCTTCCGGTTCCCAAATTTGGTCCATTTGATGTTCCTCCCTTGGATTGAGACCGTTTCACTCATGTTTGTCCTCATAGTCATGTTAGAACCTATTAATCCATGTTTGGGTAAGTATGGGTCCATCTAGTTCATCTTATACACTACAAGTGAGTTTCCTCAATCTGGAGTCACAGAGGTACATTTCGGACTCCTTACCTCTTCCGGTTCCCAAATTAGGTCCATTTGATGTTCCTCCCTTGGATTGAGACCGTTTCACTCATGTTTGTCCTCATAGTCATGTTAGAACCTATTAATCCATGTTTGGGTAAGTATGGGTCCATCTAGTTCATCTTATACACTACAAGTGAGTTTCCTCAATCTGGAGTCACAGAGGTACATTTCGGACTCCTTACCTCTTCCGGTTCCCAAATTTGGTCCATTTGATGTTCCTCCCTTGGATTGAGACCGTTTCACTCATGTTTGTCCTCATAGTCATGTGTAGAACCTATTAATCCATGTTTGGGTAAGTATGGGTCCATCTAGTTCATCTTATACACTACAAGTGAGTTTCCTCAATGTGGAGTCACAGAGGTACATTTCGGACTCCTTACCTCTTCCGGTTCCCAAATTTGGTCCATTTGATGTTCCTCCCTTGGATTGAGACCGTTTCACTCATGTTTGTCCTCATAGTCATGTGGAGAACCTATTAATCCATGTTTGGGTAAGTATGGGTCCATCTAGTTCATCTTATACACTACAAGTGAGTTTCCACAATGTGGAGTCACAGAGGTACATTTCGGACTCCTTACCTCTTCCGGTTCCCAAATTGGTCCATTTGATGTTCCTCCCTTGGATTGAGACCGTTTCACTCATGTTTGTCCTCATAGTCATGTGTAGAACCTATTAATCCATGTTTGGGTAAGTATGGGTCCATCTAGTTCATCTTATACACTACAAGTGAGTTTCCTCAATCTGGAGTCACAGAGGTACATTTCGGACTCCTTACCTCTTCCGGTTCCCAAATTAGGTCCATTTGATGTTCCTCCCTTGGATTGAGACCGTTTCACTCATGTTTGTCCTCATAGTCATGTGAGAACCTATTAATCCATGTTTGGGTAAGTATGGGTCCATCTAGTTCATCTTATACACTACAAGTGAGTTTCCAATCTGGAGTCACAGAGGTACATTTCGGACTCCTTACCTCTTCCGGTTCCCAAATTAGGTCCATTTGATGTTCCTCCCTTGGATTGAGACCGTTTCACTCATGTTTGTCCTCATAGTCATGTGTAGAACCTATTAATCCATGTTTGGGTAGTATGGGTCCATCTAGTTCATCTTATACACTACAAGTGAGTTTCCACAATGTGGAGTCACAGAGGTACATTTCGGACTCCTTACCTCTTCCGGTTCCCAAATTAGGTCCATTTGATGTTCCTCCCTTGGATTGAGACCGTTTCACTCATGTTTGTCCTCATAGTAATATGGAGAACCTATTAATCCATGTTTGGGTAAGTATGGGTCCATCTAGTTCATCTTATACACTACAAGTGAGTTTCCACAATGTGGAGTCACAGAGGTACATTTCGGACTCCTTACCTCTTCCGGTTCCCAAATTGTCCATTTGATGTTCCTCCCTTGGATTGAGACCGTTTCACTCATGTTTGTCCTCATAGTCATGTAGAACCTATTAATCCATGTTTGGGTAAGTATGGGTCCATCTAGTTCATCTTATACACTACAAGTGAGTTTCCCAATATGGAGTCACAGAGGTACATTTCGGACTCTTACCTCTTCCGGTTCCCAAATTAGGTCCATTTGATGATTCTGCATATTTTTGGTAGATTTAAATTTTACTTTGCTAGTCTACTATTTTATTGGCAGACTCTACGTATTCTTTGTAGACTTTGTTGAGGTTTTGGCAGACTACGTCAAAGTCTTCCAAATTTACTCGCAGACTTGAATTTTAAACTGCTAGTCTTCCATTTTTTTGGTGGATTATGCGTATTTTTGGTAGACTTAAATTTTACTTTGCTAGTCTGCTATTTTATTGGCAGACTCTACATATTCTTTGTAGACTTTGTCAAGTTTATTACATTAAAGTCTTCCAAATATATTAGCAGACTTGGATTTTAATCTGCGAATCTTCTACTTTTTGGTGGATTCTGCATATTTTTGGTAAATTTGACTTTTACTCTGCTAATCTGCTATTTAATTAGCAGACTCAACATGTATTTGGTAGACTCTGCATAATTTTTTGTAGACATTGTTGAGATTTGGCAGATTACATCAAAGTCTTTCAAATTTACTAGCATATTCAAATTTCAATATGCTAATCTTCTAATTTTTTTATGAATACTACATATTTTTGATAGACTTGAATTTTACACTGTTAGTTTGCTATTTTATTAGCATATTCAATATATTTTTGATAGATTTTACATATTTTTTAAGACTATGAGTTTTGGCAAACTACACCATAGTCTTCTAAAATTATCACTATAATTGAATTTTAATCTTCTAATATGATATTTTTCTGTGTTGTTTTGTTAATATTGGATTTTAGTTGATGAAATATTTTCTCGCAAAATTCAGAAAAAGTTACAAACTGAAATCTCATATAGTCAAACATTTTATAAATGTGCAAAAAAACAAAAATGAAAAGAAGTAGAATGGATAGAGAATCAATTTCAATGATAAATACCATAAATGAAAAAATTGAGTTCGACAAAAAAAATTGCTGTTAGACCAAATATACATTGCCATGAAATTTGATAAAATAAAAATAATCAATTGATTTGAAATTAAAAGTTATTTATTTCTTATTTTATTTTTCTTTTATTTATTTATTAACTAAAACTAATTTGTTATTGTTCAAATTAAATGAATAGTTATGTGTAATTTACAAAAACGAAATTAAAGAAATAATTATAGTTAAAAGGATAAAACTGGAATTATACATTCACTGCTTAAATGATTAATAGGTTATATGAGTAATAAAAATATAAATAGGTTATTATAGCTATTTCTTATAAAAAAGAGGTTATATTAGGTAATTTTTTCAAAAAAAAATATATATAAATGAATTCCAATTCCAACAATGCATTTTTTCGGATAGACTCATTCACTTTGATATGACTGAATTTTGTACTGTACCTAGTGCTAAATGAAAAAAAAGTGGAACCTGGCCTGCCTACCATTTTGTTTTAAGATTCTTCTTATCGATTCAAGGTGACAAAATCCGGAGAAAAAGGCATTTACTTATCACCGAGATAGAGATAGGTATTAGCTAACTTTATCCTAATGAAAACTGAAAACTATTGTTTCATGCACTATGCATTTGATTGGTAATTTGTGGAATATTGACATAATTGCGTCTAACGCGACTTCGAAAATATTTTATCAGTTAAAAAACCGTGGAATGCTAAACAACACACAAAGGACGTAAAAACGCAGGTTTTGTTTTCAGCTTAAGAAAATATAAATAAAGTTCACTAAAACAAATACAATAAGTAGGTATTTAGTAGCTTTATAATGTTAGTTTGAAGTTGCATAGTCATTTTTCGTGGTTATCACTCATCGCCTGCAATGTACTTGTAAATATCTTGCTTTGTGATATGATGATCAAACTTCATTACTGGCATTCATCTAGATAGTTTCATGAAAAGCAATCACATTATGCATAAGTACATGCTAGTGATTAGTCTTGTACAAGACTAGTTAACTTCAAAATACCAATGAACAATTACTATTCAACTATGTAGACATTGTAGAGTAATTAACTCCAAGTTAGCAGACTAAACACTAGCTCACTTCTCCGGCATTAGTTGATCGATGATCTAATTTTTTTTATTATTGTATAGGAAATTTTCTAATGGTTCTCCCACAACTTCTATCTAATTTCGAATTGGGTTTTAACCTTCAAAGTTCAAACCCATCTTGATTTAACGGTTTGTTAAAAGCTGATTAAATTACTTGAGGTAATTATTGATTAACTTCAGAACTAAAATAGTTAGGTCAACGAAAAATCTGAGATTTATTTGTCGCATTAAATAGTTTGAGATTTTCAAGTTTGAGAAATTATTTTTACCCTTTCTTTTCTTTAAAAAAAGACTCCAGGCTTTTGTTTTCTCGCGATATTTATATATAGTCATATTTATATATAGTCACATAAAATAACTAACTTAATCATAAGAAATGCTCAATTCTAATTGGTTCGATTATGTCATACTGTCCCTATATGAGATACGTTACCTCTTTAAGCTAACTTTCCCTTTTTAATACATAGAAGAAGAAGAAATACTTCGTCCCATAACCCAAACTTGAACCGAACCGAAAAATAACATGTACGTTAAGTGAAACTTTTACTCTAAAATTGAGCATAATCCGAACCAAACCGCAAACGGTTCTGTACAAACCGGATTTTAAATCAAATGCATCCGGTTCGATACGACGCTCCGTTATTAACCCGTTTTAATTAAACGCTATATTTAATCAAAGGCCCTTCATTAGTTCCTTCTTCTCATCACTCAATTTTTTTTCTCCATCGATACTCACTCGAAATCTCCTTCTTCTACTTCCAGGTTCGTAATCTGTATTGCATTTTGATGTTTCGTGATTGATGATTGAAATTTGCAGTGATCCCTCATTGATCTCTCTAAAACCCTGTTCGATTCAATCCGAATTTCCCCAGATCTGATCCTTTTTTGCCTCTCCTTGTCTTACAGATCCGAGGATTCTCTGATTTACAGGTAATTTGATTTCTTCTGGATTTTTATTTTTGGTATCACTGATCGCTTACGATTGGGATCATGGAACTTGATGTTTTCGCATTGGCTGATGAGGAATGATCATGATTCGGATTTTTGTAGATTCGGAGGAATTGGAATTTTAGGATTTTTGATCTCTCAATTTTTTGAAATCGGAAAACATGGCTGCTCCAGTGCCTCCAGGAGCTCAAAGACCTAACAATCCTCAAAACTCAGCTCCTCCACCAAATTATATCCCTGGTTCACAAGGAAACCCCCAGCATTCGTTAGCTGCTAATATGCAAAACTTGAACATTCACCGGCCGGCTCCTCCGATGCCCGGTTCAGGTCCTAGACCACCTCCACCTTTTGGTCAGTCACCACAGCCTTATCCTCAATCAGCACCTTCCTACGGTGTCCAACAGCAACAACCTAGACCTTCTCCAATGGCTAGACCTGGACCTCCTCCTCCTGCTGCAATGACTAGACCTGGTGGACCACCTCCTCAGGGATCGCAACCTGGCGGCTTTCCACCAAATTTTCCAGTAGGAAGACCAGCGGCTCCACCTTCTAGTCAGCCACCGTTTGGCTCTAGACCATCGTCTGGGCCAATGCCTGGAGGTGGGCCATTTCCGCAGCCTGGTGGTTTCCCACCTTCAGGTCCACCAGGTGGTGCTCCTCCTTCAGGAGCTCGCCCAAATGGTTATGGTTCGCCTCCACCTATGGGACCTGGCATGTCTATGCCTCCTCCTGGCATGAACATGCCTCTTCCTGGCATGACCATGCCTCCTTCTGGCATGCCTGGCGGTCCGCTGACTAATGGGCCTCCGATGATGGGTCCAGGGGGATTTCCCAGGGGACCCCAGTCTATGATGGGTCCACCGCCACCTTATGGACAGCCTCCCAATGCAGGTCCTGGAGGTTCTCCTTTAGCTTCGGCTCCTGCTCCGCCAACAAATTTTCCTGGTGCTCCTTTTAGCAGACCAGCCACCACAGGAAACTATCTTTATGGACCACCACCACAGCAGGTACATCTACTTGATGCGTGTTCTTGTCTATCAGTAAATTGTCAAGTCGACTTGTGAATTGATGAAACATGCAATGCCTTTATCTGGAAGAAAGCAAAACCTATTTTTGATGTAACTAGTAATAGAATGGGTAACAATTTATGTAGTGTGTTTAGATTTTTGTTTTTCTTCAGTTTCTTTGGCTGGACTTTCGCAGTTGATGCATTTTCTTTGTGTGACACATTATGATTGCTTTGAAATTTGAAAATTTGTAGATACCTTCTGCTCCCGGCACCCCTGGTTCGATGTATAACATGGGTCCTGTGCCGAATCAGTCGATGACCACTGTTTCTAGCCCTTCGAAGATTGATCTTAATCAGATCCCAAGGCCAGGTTCAAGCTCCAGTCCAATCGTCTATGAAACTCGAGTGGAGAATCAGGCTAACCCTCCACCAGTATGTCTTATAGTATTCAACTATTCATTTTGGAAATTACTATTTGATCTTTAGTGAGATTGGTAACCTGCTAGATATTTCCACTGAATCTCAATCTGTTTTACTTTTGGAAGCCTACTACTGTTGATTATATTGCTAGAGACACTGGAAATTGCAGCCCACGTTACATGCGATGCACAATCAGTCAGGTAACTATGAAGCGAGATGTCTTGAGTTAAATGTAATTATTTTTGTTTTAAGTATTGATCTAATGTGTACCTTGACCCTGGATCTGATACTATGCTTCCAATGTTTCCACAATAGATCCCATGTACTGTCGATCTTCTTTCTACATCTGGTATGCAACTGGCGTTAATTGTCCAACCGATGGCGCTTTCTCATCCTTCTGAAGAGCCTATCCAAGTAATATCAAACTTTAAAACCATTTTTTGCGTTCATTGTTTGCACTGTTTATATCTTATTTCTTTCCTTGTCCTATTGATCAGACCTTGCAGTTTCCAGTTTAGTATTGAACTTAATGTTTCCAGTCCTTGTTCCTTAAGAGTGTTACGAAATATTCAACTCATGTTGGCATGAACTTATGTTATTGAGCAGGTTGTGGACTTTGGTGAGAGTGGCCCTGTTAGATGTTCACGTTGTAAGGGATACATGAATCCTTTCATGAAGTTCATTGATCACGGAAAGAAGTTCACTTGTAACTTGTGTGGTAAATATTACTCTTTCCATTCAAAAAAAAAAAGCCATAGATAATAAATTACTGCTATATCAACTGCAATAGGGAGTACCAAGTTATGAGAAAACTAAAAATATTATACGCTAGAACTAAACTCTGGCTTACCTTACTGAACTGAAAGAAGTATGATGTGAATTTGGATTTCACCTTGAAAATCTCGTAAGGGAAAATGCTATTACGATCTTAAGAATTGTTATTACCGTAATCGTTTAGGACTTTAAAAATGTGGAATATGTTTGTGATCCATTTTCTCATCAACCATCTTTGCACAGGATACACTGATGAAACTCCCCGTGACTACCTCTGTAATCTGGGTCCAGATGGTAGACGTAGGGATGCTGATGAAAGGCCTGAGCTGTGTAGGGGAACTGTTGACTTTGCTGCTACAAAAGAATATATGGTGAGTTTATGGATTTCCTAATTATTGTATGCCAAAGTTTTGTGACAGCTCCATCAGATGTCATTTTTCTTTTACGGGGTCTCAGAGAACACAGCAAAGTTTATGGAAGTGCTCAGGTCTCATGTTCATTGCTTTAATTTAAAAATGGGGAGCAAGAAAATATGCTTTCACTGTTATTGCGATACCTATTACTAATGTTGATCTACAGAATTAGAATCAACCCTATAAAACTATGTTTTATTTCTAGTTTAGGAGATTGAGTTTTTGTTCCGGAATGGGAGATTATAATAATTAGATTTACTTGGTGATGTTAAGCAACCAAGATGCAAATAAATAACAGTATCATTTTTACAGGTGCGAGATCCAATGCCAGCAGTGTATTTCTTCCTCGTCGATGTCTCAATGAATGCGGTTCAAACAGGTGCAACTGCAGCTGCTTGCAGTGCAATCCTGCAAGTCCTCTCAGACCTTCCTGTAAGTTTACAGGCCCTGAATTGAATAAATGTTTTCTGTAGGCTGTGTGCTTGACTATTGTTGGGTGGATGGTAGTATCTATTGATTTCTATTTTATCATACCCTATAGTTTACCAAGCCCTTCCATAAATCTGCTAGGTTCGAAATCGTAAACCACTTTAGTTTTCTATGAATCAACGTAATGGCAGAGAATCAACGAGAAAAGCACAATAAAGAATTAAACAGAGAATCATATAGACTAGTGGGAGAACGTTAAAATACACAGGAACATCAGAAGCAATTTCTATTTATACTCAATGACTAACTGGCTGATGTGGGATAAAAAAAATGCTTTTGGTTAATGATGTGGCATAGTTGAAGAACACTTACTAGAAGCATCACCTACTAATAGCACGGACTAACTTGCCGGTGTGGCATAGTTGATTAACTATGAATTAGCTAGGAAAATAGGCTAGGCTAATGATTTTTCATAGATGTTTTTTTTTTCTAATCATTTTATGTTCTTAACAAAGTCTTGTATGCATTTTGCAGGAAGGTCCTAGGACATTTGTTGGAATTGCCACATTTGACTCAACAATACACTTTTATAATTTGAAGCGTGCACTTCAGCAGGTGATTTGTTACATTAGTTATTTCCTTGTTTCTTTGGCTAAACAGCTTAAACCAATTAATAGGGGGAATGTAGTTATCTATTTCTCCATTTGGTCTTACAAATTTGAATGTGTTATCTTGCTGCAAAGAATTCTTCCGCGTAACTTGGCTGAATAAATTCGTATTGTTTAGTTTTCTTTACTTGAAAGCCTCTCTTCAATGCATTTGGCATGAAGAGTAGCCTATATTGTCTTCAATATGAAACCATTCATTCAGTTTTGGAATGGTTCCTATGTTGCTATAATTTTCGAAAAGTTCTACTCTCTTCTATTGGTTACTGGTTCCCTTGTGATTTTGATTGCCCTGCTTACTTGCAGCCGTTGATGCTCATTGTTCCTGATGTTCAAGATGTTTATACACCTTTAGAAACAGATGTCATTGTTCAGTTATCTGAGGTAAGCACTTGGCTACTTGTTGTCATTCTTTCTGGGATCGCCCTGCGTATATATACTGTTTCCAACAGCTGGTTGCCATACTGAGATTGGTAACCATAATCTTTCTTAATTCTCCGTGTTACTTACTCTATTTTGTTGCAATTCAGTGCCGTCAACATCTAGAGATTTTGCTGGAAAGTATCCCAACAATGTTTCAGGAAAGTAAGAGTCCTGAATCTGCTTTTGGTGCAGCAGTTAAGGTATGCGAGTGCTAAATGTAAATGCTTAAGTAGAAATTGGATTCAGGTAGATGGTATGTAATATCCTCAGTTTTAAAAGTTGACTAATTAATAAGCCTAATCAAAATCTGGGTTAAGAAATGAAGTTACGTTGGCTCTGTGGGTGAAATTGGCCAGTAGGGCTGATGATGTAGCAAGCTCAGATGGTCTTTGGATCAACTTTAGTTCATTTTGCGATTTGTATTTGGCAAAATGGTGGGGGTTAGGTCTATTGCTCTCCGTATGCCATTGACTCATGTATCTAGAACATTTTCTCTCCTAGGCTGCATTCTTAGCGATGAAGAGCACTGGAGGAAAGCTCATGGTGTTTCAATCAGGTATGCTGCTTACTGTATTTGGGCCCTTAGGCTGATGCTTTTGTTTCCAATTACTTGGAATCCACCTACACATCTAGATTCTAGAATCGCCTTGATGATCATATATTTTTTTTCTTTTAGTACCACTTCATTCTTCTTCTAACATGTCCTACTGTTAAGTGTATAACTGATATGATTACCATCTCCTCGATAGTTTTGCCTTCTGTTGGCATTGGAGCACTTTCTTCTAGAGAGGCCGATGGGAGAGCTAATGCCTCTGCGGGTGAAAAGGTACACATGCATTTTTTGTTTCTTATAATGTGTTCTGACCTCTGTGTTAGAGATCTTGAAGTAATAGTTTTTTCTTTATGCATTTCCTTGGTTTTATTTCCTAGCTTGTTTTGTTGTTTATAGACTTAAATGTCATATGGTCCTGAGATTCATGGATGACACTATTGAAAGTAAATTTCTCTTTAATATGATTTCAGGAGGCCCATAAATTACTACAACCCGCAGACAAAACTCTAAGGACCATGGCTATTGAATTTGCAGAATACCAGGTATACGAATAGATATGATGTGTGAAATTAACCACTACTATTTCTATCTGCATATCACTTTCTCTTCGCTGTTGCAATATTTTTCTCTATCTAATGCATCCAGACATGCCTCAGGTCTGTGTAGATTTATTTATCACAACTCAGGCCTATGTTGACATGGCTTCAATTTCCGACATCCCAAGAACTACTGGAGGACAGGTAGATATATTCAAATATTCTTTATCCTTTCCGGTTATTTCGTATTCTTTGTAAATGACATGCATTGCTTTTCATTAATGATGGGTGTAAATTACATAGTTCAGTAGGGATTCTTGTTAACACAGTGGAGCTCGTCTCTATAACTTGATTATTTTTTTCCATAGAAGCATGTGTTGTTGGACATTTATAACACCCTCTCTGAACATTCTTGTGAAAGTTTTTCCTAGTGGACATTTATTCCCTGGGGATCGTAATTCTCATGGATTTTGAGCTCAGTGTTGATTTTCATTTTAACTTTTGGTTATATCTGTTTCCAGGTTTATTGCTACTACCCTTTCTCAGCTCTTTCAGATCCTCCCAAGCTTTACAACGATCTTAGATGGAATATCACTAGACCCCAGGGTTTTGAGGCTGTCATGCGAGTCAGATGCAGTCAGGTAATGTTTTTGTGGCAGAGAGCTCTGTCCGTGTATTTCTCTGAAAAAAATAAAATCAGAGGTTATGAATTGATGTATACCACTTTATTGTAGGGTATTCAAGTGCACGATTACTCGGGGAACTTCTGTAAACGCATACCAACTGACATCGATTTACCTGCGGTGGGTGGATCCTCCTTAAAATTTACGTGTAGTTGCGACTATAGCATTGTGTGTATCTGTTCATTTTGTGTAAATACCAAAAATGAATATATCTCTGTGCCGCAGTCCCAATACTACGGAATACTCCAGTCTCCTATTACTTTTGTCTGAAAAGTATAGTTTAATCAAAAGGGAAGCTCATGTTTGTTTTTTTGGTTGCTGGGTTCCTGGAGGAGCACTTTGGTTTATTTTGTTTCTTTTTTGACGAACCTTGATTGCCATGCAGATTGACTGTGACAAAGCTGTTATGGTGACATTAAAGCATGATGACAAACTACAAGATGGAGCTGAATGTGGTTTTCAGGTTTATCTTTTTACTTATGTTATTGGCCATTCGAAATATTTTTCTCGCCCTACTTTGTGAGATATTGTTACACCGTCTCATATCATAACATTCATACGTTTCCTTTATGATTTTTCTGTGGTTTTCAGTGTGCCCTTCTGTATACAACCATATTTGGAGAAAGAAGAATTAGGGTTATTAACTTATCACTCCCTTGTACAAACATGCTCAGTAACTTGTTCCGCTCAGCTGACCTAGATACCCAATTTGCCTGTATGCTGAAACACGGTAGGCATCTTTATTTTTGGCTCTGGTTCCATTGCTAACCATGTTGTCATGGTTTCTTTAATGATATTAACTAAAAAAATATCATAACACTCGGTGTAATATAAATTACGTGTGTTGCTTGTTTATGTAGTGGCTAATGAGATCCCTTCCAAGGCACTTCAATTGGTAAAGGAGCAAGCAGTTAATAATTGCGTCAGCACACTCTATTCCTACCGTAAATTCTGCGCTGCAGTTACATCATCTGGACAACTTATTCTTCCTGAAGCACTCAAGCTTTTGCCACTCTATGCTCTCGGTATTTTCTTTGCACTTTTTAGTCTATTTTGAACCCAAAAAAATTACACCATTTAGGTTAGTTTGTTCTTGTTCTTGAAACAGAATTTGCTAATTCTTGCCTTCGAATTACTGGTTCTTTGTATATTTTGTTTGGCCTAATTTTCATTTGCTGAATGCGACATACATCATTGTAGAGAAGAACTTGTAATCTCATTATTTTTCTTTTTCAGCCTTGACCAAAGGTGTTGGGTTACGGACGGACGGGAGAATCGATGACCGATCGTTCTGGATAAACCATGTGTCTTCATTGTCTACTCCTTTGGCAATTCCACTAGTTTATCCAAGGATGATTGCTGTTCATGACCTTGATGAAAAGGTATGGAGCTATCATCTTTAACCTAGATGTCGTTACGTCCTAATTTACTCTTTTTTTCAAACGTTTTGATGGTTTGTTGTATAATCTATCAGGACAATGAAGAAACGGTGGTTCCTTCCCCAATCCCATTGGCAAGTGAACACCTTAAGGACGAGGGAGTCTATTTTCTTGAGAACGGTGACGACGCATTGATATATGTTGGGGACTCGGTAAATCCAGATATCCTACAGAAGCTCTTCAATGTTCCTTCAGCTGCTGACATTCCAAGCCAGGTAAAACTAATCATCATCGTCTTGACAAATAATATATTCTTTGTATGATTGTTTCATCTTATTTACTTAGCACTTTATTGAAAATACATCTTAAAGAAGTTTTCGTAACCATGTTAACATGATACTCTGTGTTTTTTTTTTTGCTTCACAGTATGTGCTGCAGAAGTATGAGAATCAGCTATCGGAGAAGTTTAATGACGTGGTGAATGAAATAAGGAGGCAAAGAAGCTCTTACTTACGGTATATAAACAAAAGTCTCTTATCCCTATCTTCTTTATTCTCCTCGAATAATTCAACCTTATAAATCTCTTTACATGGTCTCTCTCCCTGCAGCATTAACTTGTGCAAGAAAGGAGATCAAACAGGTTAGTTAGCTTTACAGAGGCCAATTTATGCTTTTGTTACACATTTTTCGGTTAAGGAGAAACTAAATCAGTCTTTTTTTGTTTTCTCTCAGGAATGTTGTTCTTATCGTATATGGTAGAGGACAGGACAATGGGTGGGCCATCGTACGTGGAGTTTCTTGTTCAAGTTCATCGTCAAATCCAACACAAACTTAACTGATAGGTCTCTCTCTCTGGTCTCCTCTGTTTCGTGTCTTCAAAATCTTGTTAGATTAGAAGAGCAGAGAGGCAGCAGAAAAAAAGAAAAGGACACAAAAGGAAAGACAATGAATCTTGTTCCTTTGTACATACTTTTGGCTGGAAACTTTATTATTACTTCTTCAAGTTCTTGTGTTCTTGAGAAGTTCTATATCCCAATGGAAGATAGTGAGAAGAAGAGACGGAGAGCATGATTTTCTTCCTTTTTTTATTTTTGTGGCTCTTTATTTATACAACAGTCCTTTTTGTAGTGGAACTTGAAGAGAAAATGATTTTTAATATTTAAGTGTTTTTTCCGGATCTATCCTTATTTTGCAGTTTTGCAATTTGGTATGATTCTTCAGCGCAAAATAACAAGTCATTTTGGTAATAACAAATTAGTGTTACAAGTTGTTGTAACCAATGCAGATGAATTAACATTCTTCCTGAAGTTCAGAGATTACTAGAGTCCATTGTCATATAATATCTTCTCTAAGTTCAATTCTTCGGGTGTAAATAAAAATTGGAGGTACACTGGCATTTTATGTTCATAAACAGATTTTGTTTGGAGCAATATTAGACTGTCTAAAAGTGTTTTTGAATTAAAAGACAGCTTCTTTTGTGCAAGAAAATTACTAATTTTAACCAAAGAAAAAACTACAACGTTCCATCTTATTTTTCTACGCAAAACAATAAAGAAGCCGATAAATGGAAAAAGTCGAAGTGAACTAAAACACTCATTTTCTTTTTGCCTCTTCTCTTGTGAGATTCCTCATGATTCAGATTCTAACGACTCACAAAACAAATCTGAGAGTGAATCGCCAAAAAAAGGAAGTGATGATGAGGAGAAGAATATAAAGTTACTTTCCGGGAAGGGAAAAAAGAAGAAGATGAATCAAGCCATTTTCACTTTCCGGGAAGGTGGCCGGCGGAATAAGCTTATCAAGTCATCAAGACCCTGCCATCATTTCAAACGACACATCACTAAACCTTCTCTCATTTCACAGTCGTATATATGAAATTTCACGCAACAGCTTTCCTATTTACCCGAGTAGTGATGACGAGGAAACTGAAAAGCACTATCAAGTATGATCCTAACACCAGAAGCAAGAGCAAGTCGAACGTTACACTCGCAACCTACAAACACAAACAGATCATGTAGTGATTATGATTCAAGATCAAGTCATATGATTTAGCTTTTTTTTTTTTTTTTTTTTTTGGGTTTCTCACTTGATTTTCACCAGAAGAGTGAGAAGGACTTTCATCGCAGTGTTAAGGAAATAGTAAAGAGACTATGTTTAAAGAAGTAACCTGGTATATGTTAAGGCTAGCCTTTGTTGAGTCGTAAAAGGTGAAAGTTCCGTCTAAAGATTCATGTTGAACACTCACTTCAGCTGTATAATCCTCTAGTTCCTGCCAAGAAGGTATCTCACCAATGTTTAACAACAGAAAATCATAAACTGAACAAAACGTGGTAACGAATAGATAACATACCTTTTTCAGAGCCATGATTAATGGTTCGTTCTTTGAGAGAAACGGTGCCACCCGAGGAGTTTGTGACAGAAGATCTAACCATGATCTCACATAAAAGGGATTTACCGCCAAACTACTGTCATCCGCAAAAATCTTTACGTCTTTTCCTTGGTGGCCATAGATATGTCTCTGCGGGGAGCAGTACACGAAAAATAGCGAGAGTATTACAAACTTTTATGAAACACGTTTTAGCTTCCAATTCAATCAACTACAGTATAAGAAGTTGGAATTTCAGATGAGTGATTGTCTTACGGCGAGGCTTTCAGCGACTAACTTAACACCTTTAATGATAGAATCTTCACTCACAAGTTGCCTGCAGAAAAAGCATTGAGGTATTGAGTAATGATAATGGAAACTCTTGATGGATAAAACAGAAAAGTTTACGATGAAATCGTTTGTTCAGAGTACACAAAATTAGATGGATTGCTTTGTAAGTGTTACCTTGTGTCAGAGAGACTTCCGGCACTTTCCAGTAACTCGGGTGGAGTAGAAAGTTCAGATAAAGTGGCTGCCGTAACTCTGAGTCTTGAAAACTGTTCATGCTCCCAAGCAACCTAAAGAATTCAAAGGGTCTATTGTTAGGATATGAATAGATAAAACAATTGACGGAGAGGGGATATAGTATAGTCGCATATCCCAAGTAGCCCCTACATGAGCGGATAACTAAAGAAAGTGGAGATAATATCATAACTAGGCAAAAGACAGAGCCTACTCACTGGATAAGACAAGTTTAATGCTGCAAAACGTAACAGGTTTCAAATCACGACAAAGACTTTCCAACTATCCAAATTTCGGCACAGTTCTAACAGTTTATTGGAGACCTATGAAAAAGAGCAAACAAATCTAAGAAACACTCTTGACTCAAAAACAAGTCTAGTTTCCAATAGTGAAGTATTGACTCACTCGAGAATTAGAGATGTTAATCTTCTTGTGCTTCAGGGCAACTTGAAAACCCAAGTCTTCTGCCACATTAGAGAATCCCTGAAGAGATGCATCTGTTAACAAACGAACCACAATAGCTAGTCACAGCAAAAATGCATACACTATCATTTTTACCTCAAAAATTTGTTTGATATAGGCGTTATCCGGAGGCTTTGACACGTGGACCAATAATTCATTGTCCCAAGAACCAACACTGTTCAAGCAAATAGCGTAATCAATGCTCTCACGCATCCTCTGATCAAGGCTCTTCAGCCACTGCAGAAGATATGATGCTTAATGAGGCATACCAACAAGTTTGCAAATGCAACAAACAAAAAAATGCAGGAACGATATGGTTTTAGTAGTTTCAAGAAGACAAGAAGTAAGGTCGAGTACCTTTTGAGTTCCTTCATAGTTGTAGGGTCCACCAGATGTAAGTGCAAAAAGTATATTGTATCTTCCCCTTGTCTTAGGATTTGAGTAAAGAACAGAAAATAGTCTAGCTACTTCAAGAAGTGCAACTACCCCACTTCCATTGCTGTCACTTCCGACTGATAATGCCTACAAATACAAGTTAATCAGGTATGTACTACCACAATAGTAAGAATATCCACTACTCATATTACTTACAGGAGCTGCTCCGAAGGTATCATAGGATGCAACAACAGCAATTGTTGGAAGCTGGTTGGAATCCCCATCTGCTCTTGATCCTGGAAGCCATCCCTACACACAAACCAAATCCTCTCAGGCTTTCAGCATGTCAAGAATCAAAAATGAACCAGCATAAGAGACACATAGAGAGAGGGCGCGAAAGCACATATCCAGATTCAGTAGATAACTAACAAGGAGCGGGCAGATCAACGGTACTAAACATGAGGAGTGTACACAAAATTCCTAGTTGCTGAAAAATGCAAGAGCTTAAACTAATCCTATAAACATGATGAAAGCAAATACAGTACTGAGGAAATTACTGCATTGCAGGGAACTTGGAGTGTAGGATTCACAAATGCATACTAAGTTACTAACAAAAACCAGACCATCAGAGATTAACAACTGAGGTGTATACAGGCTGCTATGCTAACCGAAATCATCTTAAAATACAGCCAGCCAAGATTCCCAAAACTGAATTAGCTAATAATTGAAGACAGGACAGATAAGGTTATGCTACTTTTCATAAATTTTAAAGCTAGTGACGACATTATCAGAAATAATTAAATTCAGTGAGTTACCTGGATGTTAGTGATGGTGGGAGATGCAATTTTCCTAGGCTCTGATACGGAGATAACAAGCTTATATCTGAATATAGTTACAGACAGAAAAAGGTTACATATGCAATACAAAAACAAACAAAAAAATTATCAATAAACCATTCCTGGGAAAATAGACAGAATGAGCATACTTAAATTCTGATACACAGTTCGCTAAAGCTTCAAGCATCTACCTATATAGACAAGATCCGCTAATAGACTAAGTGTTTAATACGTAGCTTCCCCCAATCTTGAAGTCACACACATCATCACTATACTTATACTTAGCTTATCACCAACTGTTTGCCAACAGACATATCACTACAACATTTCATGAAAATTGAGAGAGTCATTGACTAACCCGCCTGTGGTTGCAGTAGCCTGTTGACCAAGTGCATCATTTTTCTTCACATCAGCCAACATAGCATCAGTCTCTTCATTCTCAAATGCGAAGTACACAGGAAACTGTAGTAATGAACGGTGGTTAGTGGTTACCATAGAGGCCATTGGCAAACAAATTATTGCTTTTCAACTTAACTAATACATAAGAAACAAACACTCACAGGTATGTTTCCATGGATAAGTAACTTCTCAAGTTGAGCTAATAATTTCCTGAACCCTTCGGTCTCAGAGATTACACTGCCACCACCAACATTTCCAGGTCTAAACGTTTGAGGAAGCAAGATCAACAATCCTCCAAGAGACTGCTTTTGTGAGATGTAATCTGCCATCATCTTCACAGTGTAAGTAAAGTAACAACAAGCTTAAGCCTCAGAAAATGAAAAACCCAGAAACCCGATCCAAATCGAACTGCGAATCAGCTGCTTAACTAAAATGAGTTTTTTCCACGAATCAAATCGAGATTACCTTGAACGAAACCGATGTCGAGCTCCCGAAGTGGGAGGATAAGTACAGAGCGAGATAGATCGGCACCACGCTGGAAGCTGAGTGAAGCGGCGTGGTGATTAAGAGAAGAGAAACGAGAGCCAAATGGAACACCGGAGATGTCATACTGGATAAGCCGATACACATCGACAACTGTAGCGGCGTCGCAAAGCTCGACGCAAGCGACGAGTATGAGCATCAGCGCAAGGACTGGATACATCGATTCGAAGACTATGGACCGATGTCTGTGCTTGGATTTCTTATCATCCGCCATTGTTGGGGAGGTGAGGTCTGGATCTAGGGTTTTTCAGTGCAAAGTGGGAAGAGATCTCGGATTTGATCTGAAAGTGATATGAGGTTTTTAGTAGTCACCACTAGATTATCGTTATTGACTTCTGAGTTTTTTTTTTCCTCTCTTTTTTTTGTGTAAGTAAAAAAAATAAAAATTGTTTTGGCTAGAGACGATAGATGCACGTTCATGTGGAAGTGACGTTTATTTTCCTTTGTTATTATTTTTTTTTTTGTGACATTCTTTTTATATTACTCAGTCTTTCTATTTCATTTTAGGGCCTGACTGGTTTAAACGCTGCGGTTGCGGTTGCGGGAGTTTGCGGTTGCGGGAGTTTGCGGAAGCGGGAGTTTGCGATTAAAAGCTGTTTGTACGACTGGTATAGCAATTCATAGCGGTTGCGTTTGCGGGATATTTTTGACTGGTTAGCCAGCGGGTGCAAGAGCGGTTTAACCAAAAGTTACTAAAATAAAAATAATATATAATTATTCAAAACATTTATAACCATATTAATAATTTTTTTTAAATATATTTTTTGATGAATTTTTAATTTGAAAACTACCCTTATTTTTTTTGGTTTTGAAAAATACACTTTTTATATGTAAAATGATTATTCCTAATTTGAAATTCAAATAAGAAATATAAAATATTAATATTTGATAATAATTTTGTATCATTTTAACATCCTAATTACCTGTTTAGTTTTTTTTTAAACAATTTAATAAAAATATAAGATTGTTTATATAAAGTTTAAATGGGGTGAGATTAAAGTTGTTTATGCAAAGTTTCAAAAATATTTAAATTTTTCAAAGATAAACATTAAAAATGAAAGATATATTTCTCCACTTTTAAATTTTTAATAATTTATAAACTTTAAATATATGTAAAGTTTTAATTTATTTAAAGTTTCATTTGGTTTGAATGTGTATGAGGTTAAGTTGTTTATATAAAGATCCAAAATATTAAAATTTGTTTCAGTTTAACATATACTATATTTATTTGAAAAAAAACTTATTAATTTATTATTTTTTAATTTTCGTTTTAATTTGTAATTATTTATTATTTTTTGTTTAAATCACGTCAAAACATACTTTTTACATTTTAAAAGTGTATTTTTCAAAACAGAAAAAATTAGGGTATTTTCGAAATTTTTAAACATAATTATGGTATTTTTCAAAAAAATATACCCTTATTCCAAATTTGGAGATATTATGTTTTTTTTTTTTTTTTCAAACCGCAACCGCCCGCAACCGCAAACGCTTGCGGAAAGGAGCTTTTGATTTCCAGCGATATAGAGCGGTACAGAGTGGTATAGAGCGGTTGAAAGCGGTTGTCGTGATTGTTATAAAACGCTAAGAACCGCTACGAACCGCAAACGCTGCGTTTGCGGGTGGTAGCGGGAGAACCAATCATCACCTAACTATTGTCATCAAAGCTAGGCTCAATAACTTTTTTTTTTTGATAATGCAACGGGAGATAAATATCCCCGCAATTTTATTCAGACAAAAGAAAAATTAAGCAACAATTTGTCTAGGATATGAAATCCCATCTGCGTCTGCCATCAAGAGCAACTCTAAAGGCTCAGGTACAACATCAAATAAATGAAAACCTAGGGGTAAAGAAACCGCCAAATTCGCCAGACCATCCGCGAGATGATTGACTTCACGGAACACATGTAGCACACGGACTGACCAGTCCTTTGAAAAAAAACCTTGGCACAGTTGTACCAAGAAGGATAAGGGATGAGAACCATTAACACCTTGCCTCAAGAAACCTACTACCAACTCCGAATCCACCTCTAGAATAAGTTTAGGAACTCTCTTCTCCCAAGCAATGACCAACCCGTAATAGGCTCAATAACTTGTAAGAGGTGGTGGATAGTTAAAGAAAAGTGCTATAAAAAAATTAACAAGTTTTTTTAGTCCACTTTCCTTTTCAAAAGTTTTTTAAAGATAATAATAATATAAGATAATATTAATATTTATATAAATTTGAAAATATGTTCCTTCGTTTGGTAAACAAGGTTATTGTAAACTCACATATTTGCTGGCGATTCACAACTACCTTGTCTTAAATTATATTTTTAAACCCCCTATTTGATATGCTTGTTTCATATGTTCAACCGATTGATAACAAAACTTGTCCTGGATAAATTTTTAGTTGGGATATGCATAGCATATACATATGTGAGTTACTAACATCTTTGATTGATGGTCACATACATACGGATGATTCTGTTTTCAAACATATTTCAGTTCAAACAAAAAATACGACAACAAAAGATAAAAAAAAAAACACCTAAAACATAGTCCATATTTTTATCTTTTTTTCTCATGGGACCAATTCATACGTGATACATCTGTGTAAACCCTAATACTTTCATATAAATATGATATTTACATTCTTAGCAAAAAAAAAAAAAAAAAAAAAAAAAAAAAAAAAGATAAAAAAAAAAACAAGTTAGAGCAATCGTTTTTTTAATTATTTTACTTTTTAAGTGGCAATATTTTCATCACATATCAGAAAGAAAAACTATTTTAAATATTTAAATATAAAAATTTGATTCATTTGTTTACAAAACTTAGTCATTTTATATTGTATTTACATCATCAGGCTTTGATGAGTGATAATGTGATTTGGTTCATCGGTGATTCTTTGCATAGCAAGTAAGTATCATTGGATATTGAATATGGATATGTTTTGAGTTTAATACATCTAGATATATTGTAGTATTATTTTCTCAAAATGACACTTATTATAAAATAGATAGAATAATAATTTGGTTTTTTAGTTTTAGGATTTCCATGTTTGTGCTTTCAAACATTAAACATTAAGACATCAAAATTTGTACTTGGTATGTTGTCTACATGTTTTTCAACTCGCCAGCGCTCGAATTTTCGTCTACATGTTTTCAACACATTGAATGTATCTCAACACTAATTTTCTTACTTATGAAGCAGCAACAAATTTCGTATCCACTAGCTTCAGACTCTTACATTCATTCAACTGTCTCTCGTTTGTAGTGTAGAAGACTATCGGCGCAATACAATGCGTAATCCAATATTGGAAAATGTTGGAAGAATCTGACATATTATGTAACGCGTATTCTTCAGACATATATCCACTATAGAGTGAAAGTATAAAATTAAATTTGTAAGCTTGTATTAAAGATGTAAGAAAGTATAGTAAATAAATTTTGATTTTCTCATGTTATTGCTTTTCGTAAATGAAAGGACAAAACATATTTGTTAAATTTAGTTGTCAAAGGCATCATAGTTTATGTAATCATTTCAAACTACATAGCATATTCTACAACTCTGCAACTACATAATATACTACATTATTTTCCAACGTAATATACCAAAACATTAAACCTACATTACATATGTAATTCTACCTCTTGTATTAATTTTGTTGATAAACTTAATTTGTTTATACAGTTTGAGAAACCTCTTTACAGCAAAAACAAAAAATATATATATATATATATATATATATTGTTTGGTTGTTTGAATCTATTAGAGTTTCTTATGAAGTGAAGAATTCATAATTGAGGGAAGAAAAAAAAGATGTAAGAAAATGTATGATAAAAAAAAATTAAATGTTCTCATGTATCTATATTTGGCTATCTTTGTGTTTTTTTTTGTTAATGGACAGATAAAGTATATTTATAGAGATTTGTTTTGGTAAATTCAATTGACACTAAGGTTTCATAGCATATCCATTGATTTCAATCTACATAATATATCCTAAGAGTTTTACAACTACATAACATACTACACTATTCTTTCACATAACGTTCCACGCTATTAAACCTACAATACATATGTAAATTTACCTTTTATGCATTTATTTTATCGATAAAGTTAAATTGTTTATACAGTTTGAGAAATCTCTTTTAAGCACAAACTATTATAAACACAACCCTTTAACAAAAAAAAAGAGCACAAACTGTTATCTGGTTGTTTGAACCTCTCTTAGACTTTCTTGTGGACTTTAGACTGAAATCGAATAAATTTAAATTGAGAAATGAAAGAAAATGTATAATACAGTTATTTAGATGTTCTCAATTTCTCATGTGTCAACCGATTTGATTATCTTTTTGTTTTTCATAAATGGAAGGACAACATATTTATATAATTTTTTGAGAAAATTACCTAATATAACCTCTTTTTTATAAGAAATAGCTATAATAACCTATTTATATTTTTATTACTCATATAACCTATTAATCATTTAAGCAGTGATGTATAATTCCAGTTTTATCCTTTTAACTATAATTATTTCTTTAATTTCGTTTTTGTAAATTACACATAACTATTCATTTAATTTGAACAATAACAAATTAGTTTTAGTTAATAAATAAATAAAAGAAAAATAAAATAAGAAATAAATAACTTTTAATTTCAAATCAATTGATTATTTTTATTTTATCAAATTTCATGGCAATGTATATTTGGTCTAACAGCAATTTTTTTTGTCGAACTCAATTTTTTCATTTATGGTATTTATCATTGAAATTGATTCTCTATCCATTCTACTTCTTTTCATTTTTGTTTCTTTTGCACATTTATAAAATGTTTGACTATATGAGATTTCAGTTTGTAACTTTTTCTGAATTTTGCGAGAAAATATTTCATCAACTAAAATCCAATATTAACAAAACAACACAGAAAAATATCATATTAGAAGATTAAAATTCAATTATAGTGATAATTTTAGAAGACTATGGTGTAGTTTGCCAAAACTCATAGTCTTAAAAAATATGTAAAATCTATCAAAAATATATTGAATATGCTAATAAAATAGCAAACTAACAGTGTAAAATTCAAGTCTATCAAAAATATGTAGTATTCATAAAAAAATTAGAAGATTAGCATATTGAAATTTGAATATGCTAGTAAATTTGAAAGACTTTGATGTAATCTGCCAAATCTCAACAATGTCTACAAAAAATTATGCAGAGTCTACCAAATACATGTTGAGTCTGCTAATTAAATAGCAGATTAGCAGAGTAAAAGTCAAATTTACCAAAAATATGCAGAATCCACCAAAAAGTAGAAGATTCGCAGATTAAAATCCAAGTCTGCTAATATATTTGGAAGACTTTAATGTAATTTGTCAAAACTCGACAAAGTCTACAAAGAATATGTAGAGTCTGCCAATAAAATAGCAGACTAGCAAAGTAAAATTTAAGTCTACCAAAAATACGCATAATCCACCAAAAAAATGGAAGACTAGCAGTTTAAAATTCAAGTCTGCGAGTAAATTTGGAAGACTTTGACGTAGTCTGCCAAAACCTCAACAAAGTCTACAAAGAATACGTAGAGTCTGCCAATAAAATAGTAGACTAGCAAAGTAAAATTTAAATCTACCAAAAATATGCAGAATCCACCAAAAAAATGGAAGACTAGCAGTTTAAAATTCAAGTCTGCCAGTAAATTTGGAAGACTTTGACGTAGTCTGCCAAAACCTCAACAAAGTCTACAAAGAATACGTAGAGTCTGCCAATAAAATAGTAGACTAGCAAAGTAAAATTTAAATCTACCAAAAATACGCAGAATCCACCAAAAAAATGGAAGACTAGCAATTTAAAATCCGAGTCTGCTAGTAAATTTTGGAAGACTTTGGTATACTCTACCAAACCTTGACAGAGTCTACAAAAAAGACGCAGAATCTACCAAAAATATGTAGTGTCTGCTAACAAAATAACAGATTAGCAGACTGAAATTTAAATCTACTAAAAATATGCAGAATCCACAAAAAAATGGAAGATCAGCAGAATAAAATCCGAGTCTGCTAGTAAATTTGGAAGATTTTGGTATAGTTTGTCAAAGCTTGACAGAGTCTACGAAAAAATATATAGAGTCTACCAAAAATACGTTGAGTCTGCCAAAAAAATAGCAGACTAGCAAAAGAAAATCCGAGTCTGCGAGTAAGTTTGGAAGACTTTAAAAGGATAATTGTGTAAAAATTTTTTTATAAAATCTTCAAAATTCTTGATAGGCTATTTTGGCTATTTACAATATTTTGTGGGTTATTATAGCAAATCTTAATAAATTCAATAGTCACTAAAATATTATAGTTTATCGGCTAATTTTAAACTACATAACATATGCTAGAATATAATAGTAAAATCTACTACACTATTTTTCCACATAACATATCACGACATTAAAATACATTACAGATGTAAATCTAGCTGTAATGTGTTTATTTTATCGTTAAAGTTAAATTATTATATTGTTTAAGAAACTTGTTTTCATGAAAACTATTGTGTGCTTGTTTGTACCTATTATAGTTATAGTTAATCTAGAGAATGGAATTGAATGACTCATAATAGATAAACAAAATGTAAGGAAAAGTATAATAAGAATTAAGAAATTAGATGTTCTCGTGTATCAACAGATTTAAACCACCTCAAACGAAATTACAAATCAAGCAAGTAAGGTATTAACATATAGGTCATTAAGAATCAAAAATATTTTAGAATCCCTTATGAGCAAATCCGATTATTTGAAAGATCTCTGTATACTCACTTAGTTTTATATAACCTCCGCAAAAATATCATGTGACTCTTTCAGTTTACTCGTACTTCTTTATCAACATTTCTTTCTCTTGTATGGTACGAAATGGAAAAAGCTTGGAAATTACTCGAAGTTAGACGAATTTTCATTTAGGTCTGTCTTCGCTGTACACTTCAAATTAGTCTTTATTCACATGCTCTCTCGTCGTATTGACGTCTTCTTCGTTTCCAGAGCATCATCTAAACGTTTCCTGCCGGCAACCGGTCGTTAGGCCGATTGTTTAGTACGTATACAAGGCTTTTCTCCATATCTTTTTAAACAATATATCCCTAAAAATCAATTGAGTAACCACCTAATCAATTAGTATCAAATTATAAAACGTGGAAAACACATAATTAGCATGTGAATGTTTTTATTATATACTTCAATTTTAATATTTTTTTCAGTTGGTAAAAACGGCTAATGCAAGTCTGTTCAGACCTAATGTAGATAAGATATAAATCAATTAAAAAGTGGAGTTTTAGTTCCCCATGCTCTTGACAATAGTTTAGGCAAATAAAATAGTGGTAAGGTTACACTGTCGGTTATGTCTAAAAGAGGAATTAAGGTTACTAATCAAATCAGTCACTGGTATTTTTCAAATTATGTTAGATCATGTTATAAACTTTCTAGATAACCAGTACAATCACACAAAATTTTAGTGGAGTTGAAATGATACAAAGAAAAATTGACATCACAGTAATTGGCTCGTTTGGAATACAAATTGTATCTCCAAAAACAATAGGTATCCGCACCTTAGAAGTTTGACTTGGCATTATTAGCTTAACAAATAATGCGACTAAATTCAATATTTGGATTCACTTGTAGCGAGAGGTTTACAATAAGTTACTAACACACCGTTAAGGTAATCATCAACATCACTAATAAGAAAACATTATTTTTCTTTGATAAAATTAAGAAGATGGACATATGCTTAACAAGTAGGCAAACATATCTCTCATTTGTACTAGAAAGCTAGGATATAAAAACTTTTAACAAATAAATAAAACCATAATATATATAATTTTCAAAGTTAACAAGCTAATTGTTACCATACAATGATACAAATGAAAACAAAAGGATGCCGTAATTTTAATCATCATCAGTAATTCAAAACTTTATAGTTAATTTGTTTTGTTTTTTATACTTTACAATACGTAGGCCATTTGTAATATCAAAACATTAAAAGTCACCCACTAAGAACAAAACAAATTATTTGGTATCTCGCTTAAATATGAGAAGATCTCTTTATTTAAATATCCGAAGATTTTATCGAAGTACTACTTAATCAGCATTTCGTTATCTTGTATGGAACGAATTATGAAGTGAGAATTTTTCAAAAAAGTTCCGGGAAAATTTTCAATCTTCATGCTTTCGTCTTCTTCTTCTTCGTCTACGACGGAGCAAGTGTCACTCAGCGGGATCAACACCGTCACTTCCGATGTCTTACAGTCTCAAATCTTCACTCGCCTCGACGGCGTGTCTCTCGCAGCCCTGAGCTGCACTTGCTCCGACCTACACTCCTGCTGCTCCGAAGAATCACTATGGAAAGAAAAATGTTCCGCCACGTGGCCTTCTACATCGGACACACGTGTCCAGAGCATCATCTCAACGTTCCCCGCCGGTCACCGCTCGTTTTTCTCCGATTCCTCGCCGTTTCTCTCGCACGTCGGTGAAATCGATCTCTCACCGTCCGTCGATACGACGGAGTTAATATCAGCCGTCGATATTCGCTACAAAGATGAAGTGGTTTTCTCGAGGGTTCAAGTGACAGAGACAATCTCCGGTTGGTTCCTCTGCTCGCCTTTTCGGTTTGATCTCATCGAACCGAAAGAATTGATTTCGACCGGAGTTTCGTTGACTAACCAATGGGAACACGACATGTGGAGAAACGACTTGGAGGAAAATCTTTCTCTGAGCTGGATAGTGATTGACCCGACCCGTAAACGCGCGGCGGATGTATCAACCGGGAAACCCGTCTCGGTGCACCGTCACTGGTTGACCGGGGAAGTCCACCTAAAATTCTCCACTATTGTCGTCGTCGGCGACAAGAAACGGTCGGAGGAAGTGGAGTTCACGGTTACAGTGGTGCTGGCAGCGTTTAGCCGGAGTGAAGAGGAGACGGCGGCGATGCAGATTAGGGAGGTGAGTCTTGTGGCGGAGGACATGGAGGGGATAAATCTTGGAGGGAAAGGTAGTTTAGTAATTTTGACAGCGGCGATGGGAGAGAAGCGTCGGCGGAGGGCGGGAAGGGAAGAAGAAGGGGAGGAGAAATACAGAGAATTCATGGACAAGAAGACGGCGAAGGAAGAGATGAAGTTGCGGCGGAAGAAAGAAACGGTTATGGAGACGGCGGCGTGTTTTGTCGCCGTCGTGTTACTCGGCTTCCTTTTGTGTGTTTATTTGCTTATACATAAAAATATGGTCGCCATTATGAAAAAACTAACAAAATAGTTTCATAATGTGACGAACGAAACCTATAATTATCTTCACTTTCGAAAATTATGATGTATATTATTGAAGATATGACATTTGGGACAAATTGAATCGCTACAACTCAGCAGTGTGTATTGCAATCAAATCAATTAGTCCTTACAAAAGATGTTTACTTGTTACACTTTTCTGCTTTTGTCTTGAATCGTGGGCTAACGATTCAAAGATCCTTTTAGCAAAATACGATTCAACAATCCAACATATCGATTTGTAATACATATGTTACTTTAATCCAAATAATGAGATGTTTTGTCTTTGTCTCATTAATTCTTGATTGGTTGGTTTTGGTTAGCCCGTCATTATGCAATCTGATGATGCTCGCAATAGTTTAACAATATTGTTCATATTATTGGTCTTGTGACTGAACAGCCATGAATTTTAAGGGTCTTCACGGTATGATTTAAAATGTGTGACAGTGACATCAATACAGAAAATATATTTTTTTAACACCTGAACAAATCCAATATACGTTAAGTTTTTTTTTAGCATATTATTTTTTTCATTGTATAGTCCTTGTCATTTGTCAATGATAGTCTCAGGAAAAGATTTACAAAAACAGAGGAAAAGATTGCATCTCTCTTTGGAATAAATTTGTTTATGTTAAAAACAGTTCAATATAAAATGTGTCACCGCAAAAGATCTATGTTTGACACACTGAGGAGAAGGCTGATTTATAGGTGGCACAAGATTCGAGATTTAACACTCAAAATTGGGAAATGGAGCATAAAAAGCTACATCATCTAGAACATATATGGCACACTATTAAGTATTAAAACACAAGAGAAGAGAACCCATTGGTTTTATAAAAATAACATATATCTCACCATATTGGTTCTCTTACGTTCAAAACGTAAAGAAAAACAAACTTAACAGAAAGTTTAGAACTCAACAGATTATTTTGAACTTGATTCCAACGTATGACTTACATTGACTCCAAAAGTTACGGAGAGGATAACTTGAGGACTTTCAAATCAAGATTATTGGCTTGAGACTCGGAGTCATCGTCCGCTTTCACCGACTTGGACACAAACGTAACGGGTTTCTTCGGGTGCTCATTTACGGTCAAGCTAAAAACCTCTGGCTTCGAGTAATGTCCGACCACATCGAAGTATAACTTAGCTCTTGCAATATCACCAAGATCTGAACGAGAAAAAGAACGTTATCAATATGAATACGTAAAAGAAAAAGAAAAAGAAAATCAAATGCTAATATATACCAAGATCAGCTGTGATGAGACACTCGGATTCATAGTTTGGTCCGGCGAGAACCTCTCCCATAGGTGAGATAATGACACTACCGCCTAGCATGACAATAGCATCATCTTCTTTGTAGTCCTCCACGTCGGTGAACAAGTAATCCGGATGATCAGGGAAATCTTTACGCTGGCAGAACTGGCAAGCCGACAACACGAAACATCCACCTTCGTGCGCGATGTGAGTCATCGACGATTGCCATACCTTTGAACCATCAGCAGTAGGTGCACAATAAATCTCAATTCCTGCCCAATATCACAAATCGTTAAACACTACTCTTTCAATGAAATTTAGAAATGGCTTAGTTTAATATGTCTTTGGACTTGATATCTTTTACATATAAGAAATAAGAAATGCGAGTCTCTCTTATTATTATTTTTTTAGGTAATGGGTTTTTAAGTTAAAACCACATGAACAAATTAAAAACCAACATTATTGAATAGCGAAGGAATTATCGACGAACCTTTGGCGTACAACGCCGTTCTGAAGAGCGGCATCTTATTTTCCCAACAAATAGCGGCACCGAGTTTGCCGATTCGAGTGTCGTATACGGGGATGGTTGATCCATCCCCATATCCCCAAATGCAACGTTCCATACTTGTCGGCATGACTTTACGGTGCTTACCCAAGAACTGACCATCAGGACTGAAAAAAAGAGCTGTGCAATAGAGTGTATACCCATCCTTCTCTATCGCCCCCATGACCAAGTACACATTGTTTCTCCTAGCTATCTCTGCCAGTTTTGTTACTTCAGGGCCTGTACATTCGTCACAAAACCAAAATAATGGTGCAAGAAAGAGTTACTTGTGACACAAGTTTGTTGTGCTCGACTAAACTAGAACTAGCCTTGTTGAGTATAATTAACATTAACATCCCAACTCATCTGAATAATATTGCTAATTAATGAATGTTTAATTAATGTTGGTTCATTCATTACTCACACCACTCACTAGCTACATAGATCATTGTTTCGGTAACTTCATCTAAAATGTTTCAGAAACAGAAATCAAACATTTTTGTTTCTTCCTCAAAGTTAAGTTTATTTTTGTTTTTATAAATAAAACTCAGTGGTCCTAAACGTAGACCAATCTCCAACCATATAGCCGCATAAGCAAATGAAGCATATCGGTACTCTTCTAGATAATTCTTGATCTTCATGATTATGGTCGATCACAACGTTTGTCATAGATAAGCACTAAGAATATCAACGTTTGTCAGAAACATCTAGAGAACGTATAAAAAGAAGAAAAAGAAAATCATATCATGGATAACTAGTACGTACGTGACCCCTTTGTTTGGTCTTGAAGGATTTAATAGAATTTTCGTCTTTTCGTTTCCGAAAGGACCGAAACATATAGACATTGAAAATAAAAAGACAAGAGAAGAAAAGAACGATCATTTTTAAAGATGGAAGTTCTTAGTTCTTACCAGGAACATGAATGGCAGAAGCATGGTACTTGCGGAACTCATCACGACCTTCGTTGTTATGAACACCAACCGCTAAACCAAACCTAAACCCTCGAGGATAGCCGCCGATAAAACCCTCCGGGAACACCACAAGCTCCGCTTTCTCCTTGTTAGCCGCCTCCACTATTAGCCTCTCCGCCTTTTCTGCAATTAGGTTTTTGGTGAAACCTCGATGATCCAAAAAAGAAAAAAAAAAGAGAAAATAACGATTTACCTAGAGTTTTTGGAGTATCGTTATAGATAGTGGAAGCTTGAACGACGGAAGCTCGTACGATGGAAGATGATGCATGACTGTTAATGTTAACCGGAGTACTGGTTTTGAGAGTTGACATATTATCACCTCAAGCTTTGCTTTGACTACTTCGGTGACACAGAAGAGAGTAGAGAGACAATACTTATTGGCTTTATTGTTTTCTTTCCTATAACGTTTAATATGTACGAAGACAAAGAATACAGATGGACTTCTACGCCTGATACGTTACAAACCAAACTAAAACCATAATTTATTGAGTATATATGTGCTCGTTTTTGCTTCTATCTACTCCATTTTTGCTTCTATCTAACAAGTGCATGTCCAAATAATGCCATGTAGCAGAAGCTGATCTTAATAGCTTCCACGTGTGCATGTGATCGACGTTTTTAGATACACAACAAGTTTGATTTCGTAGCATGATGGGTTATTGTTGGATCTTGTATCTTTTGTGGACTACTGTTTATGATCATTAGGCGTAAAACTTATGAAATGCCTCGTGTAAAAAAGCCCATTAATTCAACTTTGCGGACAAAAGAAAGATATACGTAACTAATTTTTGGGATCACTAGGAAAATGATTTCTGTTTGTTTATCTCTTTCATTAAATCCATACTTTGTTTTCCAGACAAACTAGTTTACGTAGTCTTTTTGTTTTCTTTGTTGACTTTTTGACAAATTGGCAAACTTGGTGCCGCTATGTAAGACAGAAAAGACTACATGAAAGCGAAAGTTTTGCGTATTAATACAAAAGGACTACGTAACTAATTTTATGGCCAATTTGCCAAGTAGTTATACTGCGCAAGTTACTACCACTTGGTCGGTCAAAATAGTGTTATCCTTTAGAAAATCCGATGAATGAGCTATTTGATGGTAAAACATAAAATTTCCCCTTTATAGTCTATCGTCTGAGTTTTTATAAACATACAAATTTTACTCAAAAATGAATATATAACTAAGATGAAAAGAAAAGTTTATTAAGATTAACGTTACAATAGAAAAATATCAAAGAGAGTCCATATTTCGAGATTCAGCACTCAGAAAATATATGGCACATTATTAAAACACAAGAGAAGAGAACCAACTGGTTTGATAAAGTAGCATATATCTAACCATATTGGTTCTCTTAATTACGTTATTGAAAAATAAAGATAACCAAACTTAACAGAAAGTTTAGAACACAACATAATACTTTAAACTTGACTCCAATAAATGACTAACATTCATAACTCCAGAAAGTTATGGGGAGGATATGTTGAGGGCTTTGGAATCTGGATTATTTGCGTGAGCCTCAGAGTCATCGTCCGCTTTCACCGACTTGCACACGAATGTAACCGGTTTCTTCGCTTGCTCATTCACGATCAAGTTGAAAACATCTGGCTTCGAGTAATGTCCGACCACATCGAAGTATAACTTAGCTCTTGCAATATCACTAAGGTCTGAATGAGAAAAAAGAACGTTAAATAAGCTATCATTTTATATACTAAAGACTATGATGAATTTGAAAAAGTAAATATATATACATACCAAGATCAGCTGTGATGAGACCCTCTGATTCAAAGTTTGGTCCGGCAAGAACCTTTCCCTCAGGTGAAATGATGACACTACCGCCTGGGGAGAGAAGGGGTCCTTTGAAGACGTCTCTGTCGGAATACAAGTAATCAGGATGTTCGGGGAAATCTGAACGCACGTTATACTGGCAAGCCGACAACACGAAACATCCACCTTCCATTGCGATGTGAGTCATCGACGATTGCCATTCCTCTGAACAATCAGCAGTTGGTGCACAATAAATCTCAATTCCTGCCCACAACACCAAAGTCGTTAGGAGTCTTTCAATAAAACTTAATATATGAGTCATTTCTTTTCCTAAATAATTGATTTTAAGATGGACTACAAGTGATACATATCTCACATCAAATAACAAGTTTGGACCTAATTTATCATATTATAAAAAATAAAATAAAAAGAAATGTGTGTCACTATGATCATCCATTGTCAATTGAAATCACATGAGAAAGAAACATTGTTGAGTAGCAATGGAATGACATTGACATACCTTTGGCGTACAAGGCTGTTCTGAGGAGTGGCATCCTATTTTCCCAGCAGATAGCAGCACCGAGTTTGCCGATTGGAGTGTCGTAAACAGGGATGGTTGATCCATCCCCGAATCCCCAAATGCAACGTTCCATAGCTGTCGGCATGAGTTTACGGTGCTTACCCAAGAACTCACCTTGAGGACTGAAAAATAGGGCTGTGCAATAGAGTGTGTACCCATCCCTCTCTATGGCCCCCATCACCAAGTACACGTTGTTTCTCATCGCTATCTCTGCCAGTTTTGTTACTTCAGGACCTGTCACAAAACCAAACAATTATTTGTGAGATCAACTGAACTAAAACTAGCCTGGTTGAGTATAACATCCCAACTCATATGAACATTTTTTTTTTTTTGAACTTTAACACTTGCAAATGAAAGTTAAATTTTTGGTTACTATTCAACAATCACTACTTTAGATGCTTGTTTCGATAAATTCCATCTAAAATGTATTAAAAAAAAAGCAGGACTCAGAAAATCAAACATTTTTTATTCTTCCTTCCTCAAAGTTAAGTTTAATAGTACATATGTCAACTACTGATTTGTTTATTTGGTTTAACGTATATGTCAAAAATTAATTAATTATATTGGACCATATACAATAATTCACATGCATATGAGATCTGGTTTTCCCGGATCCTGGATCGGGTTTTTGGACCCAATAGATTGGATTCCAGATCTTGTGGTCTACATGGAATACTCACTCATACAAAGGATAAGCACACAAAAACATCAAGGTTCATCAGAATCATCTATTGTAGAAAATGAATAGAACAAAAAAAATCATGTTATGGATATAATTGTATACGTGACCCTTCGTTTGTTTGATGTTGAAGAATTAAAAAAAAAAATGTTTTGTTTTCATTTTTGAATGGTTTTCAGTTATTACCAGGAACATTAATGGCAGAAGCATGGTAGTTGCGGAACTCATCACCGCCTACGTCGTTATGAATACCAAGCGCTAACCCAAACCTAAACCCACGAGGGTAGCCGCCGATGAACGCCTCCGGGAAAACCACAAGCTGCGCTTTCTCCTTGCTCGCCGCCTCCGCAATTAGCCTCTCCGCCTTTTCTGCAAATTCAAGAAATTTTGTTTTCTTTCTTTTTAATTCAAAGATTTGTTTATCTTGAGAATGAGATTAGTCAAGGCTTTGCTAAATCCATTAAAAGGGAAATAATTAGTTACCTAGAGTTTTGGGAGTATCGTTATAGATGGTGGAGGCTTGGACGACGGTAGCTCGTATGGTTCTGGAAGATGAGGCATCGCCGTTAACGTTAGCCGGAGTAGTGTTTGGGGTTGACATATCAACTCTACCTTTCCTTTCTCTTTGGTGGTGACGGAGAGAGTTGAGAGACGTTACTTATAGCCTTATAGGTGTATTTAACTTGGTAATTTAAATGATTTTAGGTGATTTCTATTAAAATGACAAATTTCATGGAATTTTAAAAATTCTGTAAGAATCTAGTGTTATTAAATTTGTAATTTTAAGATACATTTTCAGAGATAATGTTATTGGAAAATTTTTAAAAATAGAATTTAAGAGATTTGTTATCATTTTAGAGTGGTTTAGGTGGGGTTTTCTTATTAGAAATATTATAATACAAATCTCATGATTTAAGAAGAGAATCTCCAAAAGGAGCAAGAGCATGAGGTGTATTTTTTTCCTATGTAACCACTATGGCTCCAAGTTGGCTAGTCACTGAAGTTATCCAACTGGTTTCATCCTAGTAATACATGGGTTTTGTTGACAAAAAAAAAGAAGAAGAGAATCTAGAATACTTAAATTCAAATCATAGAAACTTTTCCAACTCACCAACAATCATCTAAAAACTCACTAAAGATCAAATTATTTAAAATCACTTGAAATCCTAAGTTGGAGATAAAGTCAAATTTATTGGTGGATAGGATAGGATTCTCCTCCTGATACATTATTGGTGGCATCTAAATAACGGCTCACAATTTCATACTAGGGTAAAATTTAAAATCTAACGATGTCAATTTTTTTTAACCGAAAGGTGGAAGAATTCGAATCCTAATCTAACTACCTACATTACAAAACCACTTAATCCTACGGTTATTCTTATTTTCTTATTAGAATCGATCTGGTTTATTTGTCAAGAGTCCAACCTCATTGTTACCGTAAAGAATGACACAAACACTTTAAGCTATTTTTGTTTACAAATTTTTACCGACATAATTTATGCTGGATCAGTTATAAACCAAACTAAAACCACAATGTTTGACTATATGTGCTCGTATTTGTAATAGTTAATACGCAAATAATTGATTCCCAACTGCAAATTATGTCGCAAAGTAGATATTATTTCTATTCACTGAAAATTTATTTTACCTGATAAAAAGTTCTTTGACTTTTCTCATGAATGCTTCTGTCGAGCAGGTAACAAGTTGCATGTCCAAATAATGCCGCAGAAGTTGTGGTTTACATGTGATTCTCTCCGCTATCTGCTCAAAAGAGTTTGAGTGTAAACTCTTTTCATACTATCTTTCGCTGTCGTTTAATCATTGTTTTATCTTTAAAGAATAATAATAATAAATAAACGGATGTCAGAAAAATGAAATGAGAGACTATAGAGATTATTTAAAACAAAATGTGTACTCTAAAATGGACTTTTCTGCTTCGTTCTCCTCTACCATATCGTTCAAGCCAAGGCCAGAGAGTTTAGTGGCTAAGCGTTTCTTTTTCTTGGATAAAAAAGAAGTTTACATTAAGAAGATGAAGAGACACTGTTTCAGAGGTAACACAATGACACTAGCAACATCCTAAAAGTAGGAAGATACAAGAATGAGTTTTCAAAACATTTTGATCAGAAAGCTTTCGAATTGTCCAGAAATATTTGGAGAAATAACAGCAGAAAATCTAGAGACAAATGTTGCAAAAAAGTCTCTATAGAAAAAATGTTGCAAAATTAGTTTTTAGTTTTTTTAGGATCACACCTAATTCTTCTTAGATTTCTTGTCTCTCTTAGCTCCTCTTCTTTTGCCCTTCTGTTCGGTTTTCGCAGAAGACGCTTCCTCTTCCTCGCGAATTAGTTCTTCCTGCCTTTTTAGCGCAATGGCTTCTTGACAAGAAACCTCAACCTTGCTGCCAACAGTTCTCATCGATAAAGAAGTTACGATACATAAAGCACAACAAGAAATAACATTACCATATAATATTCTTGCATTATTACCTGAAGATATGAGCAAGAACAAACATCTCCACAGTTCGTCTACCTAGCTCAGTTAAACGTCTCTCATCACGCTCAATGTCTTCCTTGTTGACCTCATCTCCATACTAAAATTTACATCGAAGAGCAAAAACACAATTTTGTCAGTACAAGTAACTTTATAGTAACAACATACAACTCCTTGGAAAAAGTAGAGCATGGATATTGGATAAAACCTTTTTATAATTCACGTATAGAGGCAATGGTTGGAGAGAAGCTCTCTCAAGGAGTGTCAACACATCATCAGCTAAAACGAACATATCTTTGTCCACAGTAACAACAGGAGCTGACACTTCCTTGGAATCCAACAGACTTGGCATAGCATTATTGTTCTTAGTTTGGCCTTCAAGAGCCTTTAACCCATTATACAAAGTTTCCATCATCAAAGTGGATGTAACATCCTTCTCTATGAAAAATGTTTTGACAACTTCCTTTAGGATTACATCCATTTTCTCTCTACAAATCCCACGCCTCGAGTTTTGGTCCATCTCTAACCAGAAAACACCGAAGCTGCGACCAAGAATGATGTAAATATAATCCATTCCTCTTTTAGGGTGAAATTTTTCTCAAATTTTGTGAGAGAAAGAGTTAAGGTTACAAGGTGAAATGTGACATACCTTTCCTTGTCCTCTATCAACCTCACAAGCTTGCTTCTTCTTTCTTCAAAAAAATGTTTGCAAATGTACTCTACGTTTACCAAATACACCCTAAGAAGTTCTCTCCTATAGTGAGAAGAAAGGCAGCGGAAAGGTCGGTCCACCCTATCACTGCAAGAACCAATTACAAAGCACAATTCAGTGATCATACCGAAGAGAAAAGAAAGAACATATCAACCTGTGAATAAGTAATTTTGCATTTTACCTGATCACCTGAACTTGAGCACCGATTGTAATAGAATCATAATCATCTATAAACCCATCTTGTAACTTTGGTAACTCAATAAACTTCTTCCATCCCCAGTCATGCTCTTTCCTCCAAAACCGGTGCAGCGTATCTGCAAGATTTGAGGTTTAGTTGTATGCAAGTTATAAGCGGAGGGTAAGCAAATCAAGAACTCATAAATTCACCTGAAAACTTCGATTTCTTTGAATCTTTATTCACCACAGCTATAGTAAACTGAGCTAAGTGACTCCAGCCTGGAAGAAGTTTGTCACGGTTTGCAACACAGAGAAACACAGAGAGATGACTGCGAACATCACATCCTTCTGGATACATTAAAATATACCTGACACACAAAAAAACAGAGCCTTAAAAAAAACAGAACACACAAGTTTTTATTGTTAAGAAAAAATAAACATAAGCCATGTACCATTCATGTCCTCCAGCTTCAAAAACATCACTATGGAGCTCTCTTTTGTTTGTTTCTGAAAACTTCTCAATCTTCCATTTATGATCACCAAATAATTCAGAGGGTTTAAGGCCTGGAGAAAAAGTAAATAACATTTCAGATTTAAACAGCTGAAAACACATAAACCAAACAAAGAAGGAGAGATACTATGAACTCAACACAAACAAATCACAGAAAAATAAAATCTCTAACACATTTCTACTATGTTTTCACCCTTAAATGATTGCTTTTAGATGAATGGATTTGCTAAACCAATAATTGAAAAGGCAAATATAAAACGATCGATATGCACGAAGTATAATTCTTTTTACCGTAACGATCATCCTCATCTGTGTCCCAATTCACCACTCCAGAATCTTCTTTAACAGTCTCTGCCATTTCTCCAGGATGAATTTTGTTTTTAGTCAAAGCTCTCTCCCTCCTGTTTAAAGGGTCGAGATACTACACAACTTTTTTAAGTGAGTTTGGTAATATACTAATATTAGGGGAAGATTAGTGAATTGTATTTGCTGGTAAAGTAAGAAAGGGAAGATTAGTGAAGTATGGGAAAATTTCGGGAATCCGGGGAAACAAAATCTTCTTGTTATCTTTTCTGGAATTTTTATAGAAGAGAAAGTTTTGCAGATTTTTCTTTCCTCTTGAGTCTTGACCCATGTTAAGTAATTGTTCTTTCAAATACAAACAATCAGTACCAATAACGTTTGGTTAGCCACAAGGCTCACATAATTGTGATATTTTGACATTTTGTAAGCACGAGCAAATCAAAAAGTTCACATAAAGTTTATTTAACGGTTACATTGCTAAAGAAAACAAAAAAAAAACAAAAAAAAAACACAACATGCCATTTCAACTAAATATGGCACAAAAAATCACGTCAATTTAACTAAATAACAAAAATAATAATAATAACAATACGTTATAATAATATTAATAACTGTTGACACAAAAATGAAATATATCAATTCAACTAAATGTGACAAAAATGTCAGTTTAACTAAATAACAATAATAATAAAAATTGTTGGCACAAAAATAAAATGAGAGGCTTCGGTTAACAAGATGTGGACTCTAAATTGGTAATGTAATGAGTAGTAGTGTATTAAAAAAAAAATTATTATAGTATATATTTTTAAAAATATTAAATTAATTAAGTACATTAATATAGAGATTTATAAAAATCTATTTTATTGTTTAAAAAAATCCTGTTAAATTATTTATAAATCAGTGAAATATAAATTCAGAAATTGTATAAATTTGACTATTATTCGATTTCAAATGTATTTTAAAACATAGATAAGTCAACTGCTTATTTTTTCTCAATGAAAAATTGTATCCAGATGCTGTTCTAAAATCAAAATAACAAACTAGCATTCGGATATAAAATCTAAATGTAAAATTTAGAGCTAAAAACGAAAACAAACAATAATTAGAAGCAACATCCACATGCAAACATAAAGAAACCAAACATAAAATTGAGAGCACAGATGATGACGTGGCAGACAGACACAGAATGTTCAATAGGCGCGCAACAGCTGGGGAAGAGAATACTGAAACGCAAGTTTCGAGTGAGTGAGCAAAGCACGATGCCTTCCTCACGCCTCTCTTTTGTCCTCTAAACCGTCTTCACGAGCCAAGATCCGATTCCCGAGGTTCAACACCAACTTAAGCAACTTTTTTTTTTCTTTTTTGACTCTCCAAATTCCTCAAAGGCCACTTTTCTTCTACACCTCCTCTCGCCGGCGGCGCTAAATCCCTAATTAGTAATTACTATAAATATCTATGGCAACTGCAGCGGCAGAGTCGGCGGATGTTTCTAGGGATACACCAGTAGTGTCAATGGCGGTGTCGACGGCGTTTCCTGGTTTCAAATTCTCTCCGACGGATATCGAGCTGATTTCTTATTACTTGAAAAAGAAGATGGATGACTTGGAGAGGTCCGTCGAGATCATACCTGAAGTCGACATTTACAACTTCGAGCCTTGGGATTTGCCAGGTTCGTTTTTTCCCTTTAAACTTCGTACCCCTCTTTTGATGGGTTTTTGTAGATTCTTCCAAAGTTCTCTTCTTTTTCTGTAAAATTAGTAGTTTTTTTTTCCGGGATCCATGTGAACTTTGCTCTGCTTTTGAATTTTAGGTTACATGTTTAAAATTGTTCACCTTTTTAGTATTTTTTTTTAATTTCTAGAGAATTTGAACTTGGGGTTACATGTTTGTTAACATGACTTCTTGGTGGTGCAACTATACATTTCTGGTGGCAGATTTTTCGAAAACTTAAGCTGAGTACTATAACTTTTGATTGGTGTGAAGATGTCACTACTTTAGCTTGTGTGATATTGCCATTTAGTTGAAATGCATTAAAGTAATGAAAACACCTTTGTGTTTGATTGTAGTAGAACTTTAAATTGACAAGAAGATGTGATTACTAAGCTTTCTTAAGATGAAATTTAGTGAAAATGCATTGTAAGTAATGAAAAATACATTTGTGGTTTAAACGTTTTGCTTGAATATACAATTGGAAAAGCCAAACCTTTGATCTCTCTGTCACTGATTTGCTCCTACTTGTAGTTATCCCTTTCTTGGCTTGAACCACCACATAAACCGCTCTTTCATTCGTAGGTATTCACAATAGAATGTAAAATTTTATATTTGATGTAAACAAAGTTATCAGGCCTATGACAATTTGAGGTGCTGTTGGCTTTTTGCTCAACGAAATCTTGTTGTCCATTGTCTGAGAAAAAGTTTTCCATGTTCCTCTTCTTGAAATCTAACAAGTTCTTGTAAAAACTTTTACTTTCGCCGCAGATAAATCTATAGTGAAATCTGACAGCGAATGGTTCTTCTTCTGCGCTCGCGGCAAGAAGTATCCACACGGTTCACAGAACAGAAGAGCCACCAAAATGGGATACTGGAAAGCCACAGGGAAAGAACGTAATGTGAAATCAGGCCCTGAGGTGATCGGAACAAAGAGGACGCTTGTCTTCCACATCGGCCGTGCACCTAAAGGAGGAAGAACCGAATACATCATGCATGAGTACTGCATGATTGGCGTATCACTGGTAATTCTGATTCTTGATTAGTCTTTTACCGTCTTGGTTTATGTTTTGAATTTCTTGAGTGTTGTTGTATAGGATGCTCTGGTTATTTGCCGACTTAGGAGGAACACTGAGTTTCAAGGAGCTAAAGTTCAAAAGCCACCAGAGCAGCCAAGTTTATCACCTGAGAAGCACGTCAACAACTCGCAGAACGAAACGATCTCAGACACTCTCTCTGGCTGGGAAAACATGGTTGATTTCTACTTGTCAAGTGAATCAGGCCAAGAACTACTCAGTGAAATAGCAGAATCTTCACAATCTTCACAGAATCCACAGGTCCAATCTTCTTTTATACACTTCTTGATAACATTTTAGTATCATATTTAGCAACCAGATTAAGCTGGTTAGTGTTAAAAATGTGTCCAGGTTCCAAGTGAAGAAGATTTCTATGCGGATATCTTGAGGGATGACATAGTGAAGCTGGATGATCCAACAGTCTCAGGTAATACATTGATCGATGTTCCGAGGCTGCAAACGGAGTCCATGACGACAAGAGTGTTGCCTTTGCCAAGCATGGTAGACAAACAGATGCAGTCGATGCTGCAGAGACTGCCGTTGCAGAACGACATTGGAGAGGAGAACAACATATCCATGTCGAGCTGCTTCATCGGTATCTACTCGATAAAGTCGATAAACCGAGCTCGGTGGGACGTTGTTGCTTGGGTGTTTGTTATGATAGCTGTGTTGGTGTTTTATCTAGTGTGAGTGAGACTAGAGAAGAAGACGTCTTATTAGGGATCTTGCGTGGTTGTGTCAGAGAAGGTAATGTTGGCGTTAGGCTTAGTTTACGTTATCCTTGTCTGTCTCCATCATTTATACATAAAAATTTGTACTATTAGCATCTTTGTGTACTAAGTGAATGAACCAGAGAGAGAGAGAGAGAGATGATAGTCTGTTTCAAGTAGATGTTCTTTGCTATATTCATTGTCAACAAGATTTGTGTGTTTCGATAGAGATGTTAAGTAATGTTATATTGGTTTTTTGGATTTAATTTTCTTTGGTTTAGCTTTATATCAACATGACAAGATTACAGAGGTTCACAAATGAAGTAAATGGGACAGCACAAGGAAGATTGAGGATCTTCTTTAGCTTCAAAAGTAAGGAAACGAATCTTTGTGTCCGATATTTCTAACTGGTGACCGTTAATGGAACAAAATGAATAAAAAGGAATAGAACAAAAGGAATGAATGAAGAGGAACAAAATTTAGAGAATATATTCTTTTTCATTATTCTTTTTCATTTTTATAAAGAAGAGAAACAAGAGAAAGAGAAAAAGAGAATCACGATATTAGTCTTAGGAGTCCTTCTGAGAAAAATCAACAATGGCTTGGATGAAGAAGATGAACCAATTTCAAAACCTCAACTCGTTTAAGTGTTGTGCGACAAGAATCTCAGAAGAAACATAAATAACGTTTTAGAAGTTTATTATATTGTATAAATAAATATAAAAGAAAATAAAATAGGAAGCATTTAATATGACTGAGGTTATTAATGAATTTTTGAATTCAAATAATAGGAGTTATAAAGAAAATAATAAGAGAAATACTCATTTTCATAGACATTTATAAAAAGGGCAACTTTGGAATTTTTCAAAACACAATAAGGAAAACACGTTATCCAAGTAATATAATTCCTGATGGGTTATCCTAGCTATAGTGGTTAATTTTTCAGGTTATCTTAGGTAATTTTCCAATATTCATTTTCATAGACATTTATAAAAAGGGCAACTTTGGATTTTTTGAAAACACAAGAAGGAAAACAAGTTATCCATGTAATATAATTTCTGATGGGTTATCCTAGCTATAGTGGTTAATTTTTCAGATTATCTTAGGTAATTTTTCTATATTTTAACACTAAAATTCCTTAATTTATATGAAATAAGAGAATAATAAAAAATACACATTTTTATAGTCACCGATTACAACCGTAATTGGAAGAAAAAACTTCATCTTTCATTTGATTTTGCTTAAAAAAAGTTACTAAATCATGTGTCAAAGACTTTAGACCTAGGGGTCTTTGGGATAATTTCAAAAACTAAAAACTAAATTAAAAACAAGTAATAAGAGGTGGGGTAATTTAATCAAGTAATTAAAAGCTAAACCAGCTAAATTATCCAGCCTTCTTCTTCTCCACATTCTTGGATCTGCCATATTTCTCTTCATAAGAATTAATTTCGTATTCAAAAATTGATTCCAGAAACATGAATTTCAAAGTCTCAATAATCTCTACGCTAACCTAATTACATCACCGAAACCCCTAAATTCAATTCAAGATGTTCACTAGTTGTCCCAATCAGGCCATCACTCAAGCATATGAAAACATTACTCGCCAATTGTTCTTGTACACTTCGTGTACATTATCCTCTCGGAGAGGTATATTTCTCTGACAACTTTTCATATGCTTTCCATTCTCTTTATCATTTTTCTTTTCATTTTAAAGTTTATCATGTCATTTATTTTATTTTGTTATATATATATATATATATATATATATATATAGCACATTGATTCTAGTGTTTATTAGGATTTAGAGTTTATGCGCTCATGCGAATATGGCCAGAAGGGAAGAGACATTTGCTGAATTGGAAGCGGATTTGAAGAAGATCTAGAAAGAAGAAGACGATGGACAGTTGATCTGGGATACAAGGCACTCAACATTGGATCAACTACTATGAGGCTTATCATGTCTTTTCTCAACCCAGAAAACCAGAATCTGCTGCATGATTCCTTGGAGAAGATGACACACATACAAGGCAGTTTGAGAGATGCTTATAATCTCATCAGAGATTGGATTCTCTCTAACCCTTACTGTCAGTTGCCTGAGCCCAAGGCTCTTCCACAACGCCACAAATTGTGCGTGCAAAGGATTGGGTGCATTCATGATTTGGTCGAGAAAGTGAACACTAGATTGGAAGAGAGGGCTTTTGCTGAGGGAGGTGCTTATGAAGAATAAGATGAGTAAGTTTGTTTTAGAGTGCTCTTGTGTGCACTTAGGATATCCTTTTGTAGATCTCTGCTCCATCAGGTTTCTTGACATGATTTAGTAACCCGTTTAACAATTTTAAATCAGCCTTAGCTGTCTGGATTTTCTTCCATTGAACAACCACTTTTTCGATGATCATATGCTCTTACCAATATTTCTGACAATATCTGAAACCAAGTCTCTCTTGAACTTCCACTTGACAACAGCGTCATGATGAGTTTAGTTTTCTTTTGCACCTCATGGTAACATTGAGTCTCTACATCTAGATGATCTCATAAAGAGCTATCCCTCTCCCTTTACTCTCTGACATTCGTTCAAAGAGATTAGTTTTGGCACAACTTACAACTTATATCTCTCTTTTAACCACCAACCCATTGCTGTACAAAATCAAGAATATTCAATCCAGACCAGCAAATTATTGGAACGAATTAGCAATTATTCGGTAATGGAAAGCTGGTTTGGTTTGGTTTGGTTTGAAAGCCCATGAGTCAACCACTAAACAATAACCGATCGAATTTACACTAAAGAAATTGATTTGAGTTTTGATTTGCTTTGGTTCAAAATCAATGTCTCCCGGTCTGGTCTGGTCTGGTCTTAAATCCATCAAATTCCGAAAAACCTCAGCTTTTTCATTTTCTCTACTAGACACAAAACTCTCATTGAAGAGTAAAAACATTTGATCTCGAATCGATTTTTGAAAGATCCTCTCTCGTTCAATTTCACCATTTTTCGACCTTGAGGGAAAATCCCAGGGAAGTCCGATCATGAAATTTGGTTATTCATCTGGTCAAATTCGATCTGTAAGTTCTTAAATCATCTTAGTCGCCTCATTGGGGTTTCGCTATTGTGGGTGCTGAGGAAATGGGTAGAAATCAAAATAGGAATTTTGGTTTTTTCTTTATAGAGGTTGATGCGTCGTCATCTGGGTACGTCTTAATCTGATATTTGGCTTTATTTTAGTAATTGCAGATTATAGAAACTCAAATGGTGGAGAGGTTTCAAATTGAAACAGTGAAATTGCTTAGTGAACTTAAAAATCACATTAAGAAAACATGTAACTTTTTGTTCTTTTACAAATTTGTTTGGCAATTTCGATTCTATTGTTGGGTATGATAATGAATTGGCTAATGTTTTGGGAACAGGTGTTTTGAGAAATATCCATGTCGAAGCCGATCTTGCTCGTGTTTTTACTAGTCATACTTATAGTCACATCACAGTTTGAATGGAGACAACCACTGGTTGAACCAGATGCAGCCGCCACTAGCTCGTCTCAGAAACAGAAGCAGATTTCTGACAGGGAAGAAGCTGTGAAAGAGAAGGTTTTGATTCCAAACTCTTTCATGCATTTCTCTGTGTTTTCTCCTTTACAATAGTACAATCTCTCTAGCTGATGAAAAATATATGGGATTTGTGACCTGATTAGTAAATATTGTGCATGTGTAGTGGTTTCCTTAGTGTCAAACTTAAGATCATCAGTTTTTGAACCCTTTGGTTTTGTTGTCTATCATGATTAGCATTGTTGTTTTTGAATCGACTTTATTCGTTGCATTGGTTTACCTTTTTTAATGGGAATTTCTACAGTTGTAAACGTTTCTGTGTCTTATTCTGAAATAAGAATTCTTGAAATTTTGGTTAATGGATTGCTTAATTGGTTTCAAGTGGAAAATCTATAAGAGATCTTACATTTGTGTATCCAATAGGATATTCATTGAGCAGTAGCACACGAATAACTTTGGGTTTCCGCCCAAGTCCTAACCTCTATGTCTTCTCTGCCAATCTCTTAGCAATCTACACTGAAACATATCTAGAGCTATCTTGTTTTATTTCATTGAGAAATCTTCAGTGACACTTGTAATAGCTGCAGTTCCAAGAGTTTGGATGAGGTTAGGTTAGGTGTGGTGGCGACTCAACATTATATGAGTTCTATGCTTGTGCTCTTTCGTCTTTGAGATAACATATTCCTTATAAATGTTTACTTGATATACTTGTTGGATTGTTCTCACTTAGATGTTGCAGTCATAAAAGACTGATATTCTAAAGGATCCAAAAGTCTGGTCCCTTTTTTTCATGTTTGTGTTCCCGTCTCAGGCTCTGCTACTAGTATATGCTCTGTCAAATCTAATCGTAACATTCACCCGTTTTTTACAGGTAATCATATCGCAAGAGAGACATATCCAGAGGCTAAATGAGCTTATCAAGAGTCTTCAACTACAGTTGCTGCAATGCAAGGGAGAGAATGAGACCCAAAATGGCACAGAAAGCTCCCATCTAAACGAACAACTTATCCACAAGGTCGAGAGGAAACAAATCTTGGAAGGCTAATCTTTAAATAACTGAAATTGTACGTTAAAACCTGTGAACGAAGTATCACTCTTTTTATGTTGTGTTAAGGTGTTGTATCGTATTTTTATTGCTTACTTGATGTTATTTGTATAGATCAAAACAAACAAACCAGTAGAGAGCATTAACTTTCAAGTGTTCCTTGTCAGGATTCAGATTTTTCTCTCTTCAATCCACAGTGACTGGATGCAGAGTCAAGAACGCGCTGTCACAACGCAAATCACGAATCTACACACCAAAGATTCAAACGTTCTTAACAAAAAAAAAGGATTCAAACGTTCTTCGTATTTCTTATTAAGAAAATCTCTAGAGTTGTTGAGACACCAAATTCTATCACTTTGCTCGTTTCTTCGTCCACGTTCATGAACACAACGACCTTCATTGAGGATTGCCGACCCTTGTTGTTCAATACTCTTCCAGTGGATTATGGGAGAAGTTTAAATCGCCTCATGTGATTTTTGGGTATTCATTGTCTCTGATCGAGATGCAGTTACTACTCATCTTCGTATCCATCGCAATGTCTCATATGTTCCTCAGATACATTGGCATTTCACTTACCGCCTCCTATGATTGTAAGTACCCTTCCATCTCAACATCATCTTACACTATGTTATTTGGAAGATCATAGTTCCAGTTCTCCCACTACGATTTCAATCGTGGTTGGCAATACAAACATCTTACATGACAAGAATACAATGTTTTTATAGGTGAAATGACCAATGTAATACCACAGATTATATAAAAATAACTAAAAATGTCCTCAAGATGTAACTTGACATGCAAGTGAGAGAACAGTAACCAATAAATCCACAACATATGTAACTTGAAAAGTACGTAAAATGTTAAGATATATTGAACAATCAAGATAAAGCTTTCAATGGTTTTCATTTATGCAGGGTGGACTGATTATGGGACCTCAACTGTTTGATCTTAGGGAGAAGTTTTGGTAGTTCAACAAGCAACAAAATCATGCGTGAGACACTCATCGTGAATCTTTGAACAACAAGGCTGTGTATTATTTTAGGACATGATTTTAGGAAATTTAACATGGATATGATTTATGTATTAGTATTAGTGCATTATAATAACTTCCAATTCTAGTATCTCAAGTGCAAAAAATATCGTGAAATCTTATTTCCAGTTCGACTAAATGATATCCTTCTTTTCCTCACTTCAAATGATTTCGGCCTCTTACTTGAGCTGTTGAGCAATGAGCATTAGCTGCAATTTAAAATATAGATTTTTGTAGTTGATCCAAAAAAAAAGATTTTCTTGTATGACAACTTGTGTTTGTGAAGTCAGCATTTGTGTTGCCACAGGGGATCCACCCAGGCCAATTCGAAAAATAAAATTAATAATGACCTTTAGATACAGAAATAAAAGACACAATTGGAAAATTTGGGGTTTTCGACACGAGTTACATACGCAAAATTCAAAACACTTGGAGTTTGGACTCAATACATCAACTTGACTTCCTTTTAGCAGTCTAGTCTGTCCAAATTAAATACTTTTTCTTAATATAAAGGATAAAACTTAAAGTGAAAATTGGCATTACCGAAATAACGTACAAGTTTGTACTTTGTACACTTTGTATTTAACATCAGATTAAACTATTCATCTTTACTAATTTAAAGTAGCTGTTTGGGGCTCTCAGGCCATCTCACGGTTTTAACCACAGAATGCCACGTGGCACTTTTTTTTTCTTTTTTTTTTTATAACTAAAATCCGATGCCCAGACGTCTCGCGTGCCTTCCTTTTCCTCGAAGCGGTGAAGTTGAGGATCAAGCTTCACAACCCCAACCGTTGCAGCTTCTTGCTTCATCTGCCCAGTTATGAACCGTCTTTAATGCCCCATACCCTATAAATAAGTTCGATCCCCATTCCCTTTTCCCCTATTTGCAGCCACAACTTCCATTTTCCCGTCCAATCGCTTATTCGGGCGGACCTTCCTCGCGCCATGGTTCACGGCAATCTCACTCTCGATCTCTCTCCCTCCGTCGATTTCGCCGATTTAGTGCAAGGTTCCTCCGCAGAGACTCTCATCCCTCGCCTCCTCCGTCTATGGTCTCATGGATCACCGGAAGAAGAGATTTGCGCCGCCGTTCGCCAGAGCATCAGGGCGAACGACCTTTGAAGGGAATATCTTCGTTCTTGACAGTTAATCTCCGGCAATTTCAGTTTGAGATCTATGTCTTCATGGTGGAAGAACGTGGAGCCTGCTCCCAAAGATCCGATCCTCGGAGTCACCGACGCTTTTCTCGCTGATCCTAGCCCCGAAAAAGTTAATGTTGGTGTGGTAAGTCACTCTTTCTCTGCATTTTTTTTCTCCTGTTTTCTCTAGAATATCTGAATTGAAAAAAATCAGGATTTAACGGGAATTAACATTTGGTGCTTTCGTATAGCTCTGTTTGAATGTTGGCTTTACTTTTAGTTTGTTTGATGAAGATATCTGTATGAATTACTCTATGTTTTGAAATTGGGAATCAATTAGGGAGCATATCGTGATGATAATGGGAAGCATGTAGTCTTGGATTGTGTCAGAGAAGCTGAGCGAAGGATTGCCGGGACCTCCTTCATGTAAGATTGCTTCTTTCTTTCCAAATGAGCTAACTTTAATGCTTCTGTTGATTGACATGAACAAAGCTGGATTTTTCTTTTTAAGTTTAAATAATTGGTAAAGCTCCTGAATTATTACTGAAAAAACGAATATGAGTGTTTAGCTGAATTAATCTGTTTTGCTTCTGTCTCCTTTGCTTTTTCTTATAATCAAAATAGCTACTTCTCTCTATTTTTTTCTTACTTCGTCAAAGTCAAGGGAGCTGTTTTTTTTATTCATATACTGAGTTGGTGGATTCGAATATATTGTAAGTGAATTTGTGGAAATGATACCAAACCTTCCATGAAGAAAAAATGATTTTGCTAGCTACTTATTTCTTGAGCTGAAGCTATCTTTTCTATATGGTGATATTGCTCTTTTATTCAGTTGAATCTCCTTTTCTTATCAAATTGTTTACTTTGACTTCAGCTGATTAATAATGAACTTTAAGAATATTAGCTAAGTTCTCATTTTTTGGTCGATTTCTGTCTGCAGCATATTTGTTCTAAAGGAGATGTTATCTTCTTTTTCTAGAATGTATTATTGTGAAGCTGTAATCTTAAGTGCAAGCTATTTTCTACTCATTCTTTAATCTGTTTTTCTTAGGTATTTTTATCTCAGTACTCAAAATTCAAATTAGTCACCAGAGAGATCTGCAAGTTTATAGTCTGGAAAATAATGAATCACTCAGAAAAGTATATTAGTTGGGTTCTTTAGGTTTGTGTCTACCAGCTTTCATGAATAATCCCAACAAAGTTTAGTTCTCTTCATCGAGTGTTCTCTCACTAAGTTATTTGCAGTTCAAATCTAGAAAAAGCTCACATATATATAGACAAATGTATAAGTACATGAGCTCTTCTCTCCAAATAAGTTATTTTAGTGATCTTCTTGATCTGCCATTAACTGTGTTTTTTTAAAAAATCTCGCGTTGAGTTTGTCATTACAATAAAGATTCTTAATTGACTCAGTTATGTACATACCACTTTCTATCCCAATGCCATTTACAATGGTCGTCTCTGGACTTTACCACAAAAAAAGAGCAAATTCCAAGTCTAACTAATGATTTCTCTCTTTCCAATATGTATAATTGTTCTCTGAATATAATGTTCAACTTAGATGACGTTTAAGCATCTATTAGATATACAACATAATGTAGGTTCTACTCTTCTTTTCCTATAGTGAATTTCTAATCTAAATTTAGATGCTTTTTTCCTCAAAACCACAAAAGTAGAATATACACTACGTTACATTGTGGAAGATTACATGTGTTTGTCTCTCATATGCAAACCCACATTATTTCTTGATAAGTTGTTTTTTAAATGCAACTCTAAAATCTGTTTCTTATCTTCGCTTACTACAGCTGGAGCACAATGTATGTGCAGAGAAATATAATTGTAGTCTCTTTTGATGCTTACAGTGCCATTAATATTAAGAGACCGCAAACAAATTCATTTGCAAAACAAAAAAAAGTAAAGTCCAAGTGCCGTGGAGTTACAAGAAAGTGACGGGCATGATGGAAAACTAGGAAACAGTAGAGGGATTACAAAGACTAAGACCAATAAAATATTTGTTTGAAGCTGCGTTTCGGGGTGTAATATCAACTCAATTTACGCCACCGGATCATAGCATTCACCTTTTTTTTGTTTTTTCTGTTAAAAATCATAGTGTTTACCTTCTTAACATAAACGCTTAAAATATATGATTAGTATGCCTCATCACTTTCACAAACAAAAAAAACAATATCAAGCGGTACAATATGCATCGGATATTTAGTAGTATACATACTTAAACGTATTATTTTTTATATTCAGAAACCACTAAAACACATATTCAAACATAGACAAATCAACTATTATAGATGAACATTAAGCTTATCATTAACTATATAATTGTATAGATCTATAAATGTCTAATTATGCATAACAAAAACAATTTTAGCAAATGAAGAAATAATCACAATTTTATGAAAATATAATAACAAATTTTTATCAGCAGACCCGGGCGTAGCCCGGGGTTCCCCTAGTTAATCTACAAATGAACTATAGTCGTTTTCTATATAAATCCGATCATCCCCAATTAGCGTCTAACATTAAAAAATGATTCAGTGAATCATCTGAACAAACATCATTTATGAAATGTTTGGTACTAGTACAGTAGTACTACACATACAGTGAATACATTCAAATATAAATGTTGTCACGTCATAATAGAAACGAATTTCATTAAATAAACGAATAATAATTATTAATTAATAAATTCAGGCCCATTATTGGAAACACAAAAGAGGGAGGCCAAGTTGGACCCAGTCAAGATTACGTAACTGGAAACCCAGTCAAATCGTCCCAACTTGACCCGTCGTTTCTCGTCCCCTTCCTCGTGACTCTTTCCACACAATATATAGAGACTCTTTACTCAAAATTCAAATATCAAAATCGAACACTCATCAGTAGCAAGATTTGATTTCTAGATTTAAATATTTTTTTTTAATGACGATCATCGATTTGGAAACGGATCTCTCTAATCCGATACACAAACCAGGCGGCGCCGTCATGATTCGCGAGGTTTGGGCGGAGAATCTCGAATCGGAGTTTGCGCTAATCAGCGGAATCATCGACAATTATCCGTTCGTTTCGATGGACACGGAGTTTCCCGGCGTGATTTTCAAATCGGATCTCCGCGGTGGGAACCCCGCCGATCTCTACAGTCTACTCAAATCCAATGTCGATGCCCTAAGCCTCATCCAGGTCGGTCTTACTCTCTCAGACGCTTCCGGAAACCTCCCGGATCTCGGCGGTGGTGGAGGCGATCGCTTCATCTGGGAGTTCAACTTCAAAGATTTCGACGTGGCTTGTGACGCACACGCTCCCGACTCGATCGAGCTTCTCCGCCGACAGGGGATCGATTTCGAGAGGAACCGCCGCGACGGAGTGGATTCCGAGAGGTTCGCGGAGCTGATGATGTCATCGGGGCTCGTCTGCAACGAGGAAGTGAGCTGGGTGACGTTTCACAGCGCGTACGATTTCGGTTACCTGATGAAGATTCTCACGCGCCGGGAGCTTCCAAGCGCGTTGGGCGAGTTTCAGCGCGTGATGAGAGCGTTGTTCGGGGAGCGCGTGTACGACGTGAAGCACATGATGAGGTTTTGCGAGCGGAGGTTGTACGGCGGTTTAGACCGGGTCGCACGGACGCTTGAGGTGAACCGGGCGGTTGGGAAATGTCACCAAGCCGGTTCGGATAGTTTGCTTACGTGGCACGCGTTTCAGAGGATGAGAGATCTGTATTTCCTTCAGGATGGGCCGGAGAAACACGCGGGTGTTTTGTATGGGCTTGAGGTCTGTTGAAGGGACTTAATATTTTAAAATTCTATTCAATTTATTAACTCGATTAATCAATCTTTGTAGTTTGTAAATTTTATCCAAGTATATTGAGATAAGATCATAAGAGCTATAAGAAACTTGCTTATAAAACTAGTTGTGTTTTATGTTAATGATTAAGTGCAACGTGAAAGTGAGGCATCACCAAGATAAGAAGAAACTCATGTTATCTTTTCATGAATTCTACTTCTGTATTAATATGCAGAAATGGCTCAAAAAGATGCAATATAAGGGTTTTCGATTCGCAATGTATGCTTCTATATTGTACACGAGAAAAGCAAAATCAGTACGACACAGTTTTGGTCCAATTTGGTTAGTAAGATCCTTCCTTATCTATGTAGTTAGTTGTTTCAGCTATGGGTGTGGAGTTGGATTTCATTTTCCTGCGTATACATCATTTGCATGCCCGTTGATTGGTCATCAGGAAGAGCAGAAGCTGATGTCACATTTGAAAATGCACATAACTCGGTTGACTATTAAACAAAATGTGTCGATTTTATTTGCATTTTTTACGACAAGAAATCAAAGTCTCTCAAAACATGTACCAAACAGAACAAGATGTCCTTCACTATAGACAATGGCCAGTTTTTCCATTGTGATTTGTGATTCTGATCATTGATCTTTACCTCCTCAACAGTTGTTCCAGGTGTGCCTTGACGGCTTTTCAATTTTTGAATGTTAACATACGCATAAGAGATAGGACCCAACCAAATAACCAATTTACATGGTTTTGATGAACAATGTAAATTAAAACCTGGAAACGAAGTAGGTTATGATGTCTTCCTTATTGACATACAAAAACTTGTATACACAATGGACTAGATAGAGTCATGTCCCACCTTTAGGCTTTCATATGTTTCCCTGGATCTTGGAATGTTCCCAACTGTGATATTCAGATGTGATGCTGCTCAAGTGTGTGATTGCTTGCACCACAAAGAAAAAGAAAAAAAGATATCAGAGCCAGGTTTCGATCCTGGGACCTGTGGGTTATGGGCCCACCACGCTTCCGCTGCGCCACTCTGATATCTTGGCAAATTATTAACTATGTAATGTTCTACAAGAAAAAGCATGTAAATTAACAAACTTTGATGCATACAATTTTTACATCAAGATAATTATATTTGGGTAAAAAGTAAAATAAACATTGAAAAATATCAGAGCCAGGTTTCGATTTTGGGACCTGTGGGTTATGGGCCCACCACGCTTCCGCTGCGCCACTCTGATATGTTGGCAAATTATTAACTATATAATGTTGTATGAGAAAAAGCATGTAAATTAACAAACTTTGATGTATACAATCTTCACATCAAGATAATTATATTTGGGTAAAAGGTAAAATAAACATTGAAAATATCAGAGCCATGTTTCGATCCTGGGACCTGTGGGTTATGGGCCCACCACGCTTCCGCTGCGCCACTCTGATTTGTTGGTAAGTTAGAAAATTAAGTCATAAACTTTTAGCTGCCACATTTAAATCACACTTTGTGTAGAACCAATGTTAAACTAAATCCATCTCGGAAGTTAATTAGTATTTTATATATTTCTTCTGTTTTTTTTTACTTGTCGTTCTGGAATTTTTACGTTTGAAGAAAACGTGCAGAATTTTTACGTAGATTAAGAAACTAATTCAGTTTTTTTTTTTTTTACCCCTATTTAATAAGTGTAATTCACATAGATTATTTTCTTTGATAAGTGTAATTAATAAGCTAAAAGAATAAGGATAAAACTGGAAAATATAACATTAATCTACATTGAAAACACAAAACGACAACTAAAATGAAACAAAAAGTTAAGTCTAGAATGACAAATAATTCGAAATGGAGGGAGTATTTAACAATATATAATATTTTGAATTTTACAAAACAATATAATATCTATAAAAACATCTTAAAATAATAATACCTTTATGAAATATATTAGAAAACGTAGATAAAAAGCAATAAAAATGCATGTATATCATTAATTGTTATCTTAATTTAATTAGATTTTTAAAAAAAATTGTGCATTGAAAGAGATGAAAAATTGTGTTTAGTAATATAATTTAACATATTTTAGTGCCAAATTAATTAGTTATTGGCAGTAAATGATATCCAAATAATTAAAGTAAACAAAAATTAAAAGAAAACTGAAAATAAAGAAAAAAATATCACCAAAAATGTCCTCCAATGCTTCCTCTTTAACATATATAGATTTTTTTTTTAACAAAATATCTAAATTCTAAAACAGGAATAGTGTTTTTCTCTTTGATAGTTGAGTTTTTAATATTAAATAAAAACCATAAGAATGGAATTGAGTTCAAAATTTTGTATAAGGTGCTTTCCATTTATTTAGCAAGATCTTTTAGTTATTAATATATGAAAATTAGAAAATATTTTTAATTATGTGTCATAATCTAAATTAATAATGACATATGTCACAATCGATAAGTTGTAGTTATCAAATGTGTCACATTTATATTGCAAGATAGAATATAATTCACTTGTCTTACATAACTACTACATATGGCATCCTACACAAATAAGAACATCTATATATAATGTAAATAAAAAATAAAAGGTAAAATATATTTAATTTACAATAAGTAAATAATTTTTGAAATAGTAAACTCATTTTTTCCAAACAAGTCATTATTTTAAATAAAATTAGACAGAAAAGAACATATATACCAGCTATAAAAATAAACAAATCTGGCTAAACCATTTTTAAAATTGTACTTTTTCATAATTGGAGTTTAAAATATATACTAAGTATAGGAAATTAAAATTTTAAAAAATTACTGATTTGTTTTCCAGGGAAAATAATTTTATGTACATATTCTAATAACTTACATCATCAAAATTAGTTATTAATAATGAGTATATGGAAATACTAATTTATACAGTAGATCTCTATATAATTATATCACAGTTCTATACCCATATATATATATATATATATATATATATATATATATATTCAAACTCTCCTCACTAATTTCTATCAACATTTTATATCGTGGTAGACAAAACTTAAAAATGGCTTACACGAACAAAGTAAGAGGAATTGTTGTTGGGATTATAGTGGTGATTTTTCAAGTGGTGGCGATTGAGTCGTCATTGCCAGAGATAAATACACCTTGTGCATTATCGATCCCTGAGATCGTCGTTCATTGCTATGCATCCACGAACATGTCGACGACGCCATCTGAAAAATGCTGCAACGATCTCAAAACGGCAAACCAGAGGGAAGTGACTTGTCTCTGCGACAATTTCATTGCAAACCCTTCTAAATCCAATTTCAATCGGACTCTCTATGACCAAATTAACACCGCATGTGGTGTTGCCGACAAATTTGCATGTTCAGGTACCAAGCTACTTTATTCTTCCTTTTTTCTTGATATAAGAATTGTAAAGTTATGCATGTAACATGTTGTTATACGGTCTGCTGGTACGTACGCATGATTGTTCAAGTGTTTAAGAGTTATTGTAGCAATATTATGGTAACTAATCGTTTTTTTATTTTATTTTGCGTGGTAGGAGGGGACACCGGGAGAGCAACAAACAAGATTGTTGCATCAACAAGTTTATTTGGTTTGGTTACAATTCTAGTTTTACTTATTCATTGACTTTGGGCCTTACCGGAGTAATATGTAATTCTTCCTTTAAAAGCTTTTAATAAAAAGTATTACATTGCATTTGCAATTAAATAACAAATTGATTTGTCTTTGTTCAATGATCGTATTATATATAGTTTTTTTAACCAGATAAAGAGTGTTGTATACGTGAGATAAGATTGTAGTCTTCACAAGATGCGCATAGTGGCCATTTTAATTTTGAAGCAATATTTCTAATCAGAACTCATGTTCGTATTATCTTTTCATGTGTAAATAAATTTATGTTTTGTTTTTTGGGTTTTATGTGTCACTGATCTCTGTTGGTAGACAATATCAATGAGGCTACAAAAAAAAAAAAAAAAAAAAAAATGAGGCTACAAGCGTGACTTAATTGCAACGTCACTAAAGTGATAACATCACGTGGCAAGTAGAAAGTTGGTTGGGGCGAATTAGAATCATTTTCTTTTTCCTTTAAGCATCTGCAAAAATTATAACTTTGTTAAAGCTCAAAGATGAAAGAAAGCACTTTTTATTATCCAGAACATAACTAGCTTTCACTTATTCGCCCTCTCTTGTACCTTTTACTATTGTAATTTCCTCTTACTTAATCCAATTTCATCGTAGATAAAACTTACACCTGAAGAAACTTTCAAAAGAAAAAGGGGATAAATGTCATGCGTATAGCACCAGAAGGTGTGAAAGTGTCACATACATGACCACGATTTTCATCACTCACGTGTATTAAGTCATCAATGTGCATAAAGTTCTCCAATCTATTTACAAACTTTATTTAAAAACGGAAAAACTAACTGATATACAAAAAGTGATAAAAAGATATGTTTCATGAACATGAACACTAGCTACAAGTTTCAATACAAATGAACTTGCATAGACCGGTGCTAAGTTTGATAAAACTATAGTAACAAAGGTTTAATCAATTTCAGAGCTTAGGATTTCGAAAATAGATTTTCTTGGTAAGTTCACATTCATCTGAAAAAGAGAAGACAAAAGTCTTTTAAGTTAGAGATTTAGTTGACCCAAGGCTACTTACTTAGTAGTTAGTACCAAATGAATATATATGATCCTGTCATGTCTCCAAGAAACATGATCCAAAAATTATGCAAAAGTCACCTCTTCAAAGATCAAGAAGTTATTTCCTTAAGTCAAGAAATACCCACAAACAATGGAAAAAAAAACAAAATTAACCAATTTATTAGTGACTGCCAGTGATTATGATCATATTAGATAATGAGATAAATAAAAAGTTAAGCAATTATATTTCCTTTTAACACCCTTACAAAAAAAAAAACTTGACTAAATTCTTGTTTGATTTGTCATTGATATAACTTTCTGGCATTTTTCGCATGTTGCTTAATTTTCTATAACACATATTTTTTGTAAGAAAAATAGAGAAAATGTATAGAATTTGTTAACTCCATGACGCTAATTTTTTTTTGAGGTAGCGTCAACCTTTTTTGTGGGCTCATATATATCTTCCAGTATCCGAAATTAGCTTTTCTATATATATATATATATATATATATCTTATTTAAAGAATAATCATCCGTGCCAACAAGAGAACTAACCTATTTGTACTATCAGAGACCATCACATCTTTTAACTATTTAAGTTAAAAACAGTTTAGTAAACTTTGAAGCCTTTTTTTAGCAAACTTTCAAGCTAAAATACATATTATATATGATTGTATTACTTAACTAATTAATAACTATATTCAGAATGAATGAGGTCTACAAGAGTTGAGTTAATAATATCACAACGTATTACGTATATGTTTTTGTTATTAGTCCTTTTTGTTTGGGTAAAGATTTTTCCATGCTTTGTTATAAGTCAGAAAGGAGAATTATTATAAAGATATTATAATAGAAAAATTTGGATGGAGCTTAACTACTACGTTATTCATAAATCCCAATCATAGAAACAATATATAATAATTCTATGAGTAATACATTTCAAAGAATTTAGTTAACTTAAACAAAATCACAACAAAAGTCAAAAGTAGTCCAAGTCTTTCTAAAGAATGATGATCATTCCTTTGCTTAAACGTCAACGCCACATCGCTGGACAAGCTGGTACTTAACGGCTGGACCGTCACCGGTAAAATGTCCGCCGAGAGTAATGTAAGCTGGACAATTAACGTGGAGGCGGTACCTGCCGGAGATCCATGATCCCACTTTCCATCTAACCCAACCATCGACCTTGATGTTAAGAAGCACCATCCCCGCCATTAGATCTTGGCTTAACGCCGGCGAAAAGTACGGCGCCACCGGCACCGATGTTCCGTACAGAAAAGGCGACCATACCGTCACATCAAGGTGGCCTTGGTAAGTCGCCGGCAGTAAAGTCGCCAACGTCACCTTTATACCCAAAAACAAAAAAAGTTATTGCAACAACAACTTAGCCAAATTTTAGTCCAAAATAATATATTTCACATCAAGATTATGATATAATAACTTTTACAAACCAACATGCAAAATCTAGACAATTCTCATATAGTTTATTACATTCGTATATTGTATAAAACGAATCTTTGACGTCAAAAACAAAGATTCACTATAAAATATAGCTTAGATCCCCCGAATTATAGTGTTATATATATATAGCTAGACTTTTACTAGTGTTATATATATCGTTGTTTATTCGTATATTTTGTGTAACACTTTTACTAGTAAGACTTGCATTGAAGAAAACGCGAAAACACTAATTTTAAACCGCTAATAATAAATCTACAATTATACCTGTTGGTTGCGGTAGGAAGCGTAAATGTCAAGACGATCATAGAAGATTCCGATCTTGTCATTAGGATTTCGAGAAGAGAGAGTGACTTGGAGATTGGAGGTGAGAAAATTGGGCTGAGAAACGTTGAACGCGTAAATGGTTGCATCTTGAAGAACAAAACGCGGTCCGTGCGGGTGAAGTATGGCCCATACCAAGAAAACCACGAAAAGGACAGCTGCGAGAAAGCCAAGCACCGCAGCTCCTAAAAGTCTCCGCGTCTTCTCATCCTCGTCGTGGTGATGCTCACATTCCTTCTCCGTCATTTTGGCCGTTTGCGTTTAGCGGCGGAGAGAGATTCCCGTTGAGGCAGAGAGTTGATGTCTTTTGTAATTTATGTATTAAAAAAAAAAAACAGAGAGTTACGCTCTTCTTTTGATGTCACATCAAGAGACAGAGTGTTACAATGAAGTTTCATTGTGGTGATACGTATATATAACAACTGCAGCCTTTGTGATGATAAATTAAACGATTATCTTTCTGCTCATATATTTTTTTTTTCTCGTGTGTCAACGATAATATTATTAGTTTATTGAACCAATATTCTTTAACTTTAGTAATTTGTTCACTTTTTAACTTTATCTTTAGTCAAAATTAATTCAGATAAAAATGTTTTATTCCTAATTAATGTTACTAAGGTTAACAAGGTCGTTTTCTTTTGCTGTTTTTTGGTTAAAGATCGGTTAGAACCGTTCTAAAAAGTTTATTACAGGCATTAACTTGTAGACTAAAAAAGCTACGCCCACTGTAAAGCACTTTGTAGGTGGGTTAAGAATCTTCTTTCCGCAGCGACATTATTTGTAAAAGTTTATATACAATGCAGGAAATAATTATCACGCGGTTAACTACATTTTTCCTTGCATAGTAAAAAGTTATCAACACGCAAATTTGTTCAAAAAGGAAAAAAGAAAAAAACATCAACACACATAATCGTTCAAAACGCGATATAACGCTAGACTACCAACAGTTAAAGAAGAAGAAAAAACTAAACTACTGAAAATCCACTACATGGAATGAATCTTCAGAAAATTAGAACTTAAAACTTAGGCCGGGACCGTTAACGCTATTAATCTCAAACTAACGAATGAGCAATGAAACTTTCACATGAACCCATCATAATAGAATTTGGCAGTGTCAAAGAAAGTGGTAAATGTATGATGAAGGTACCTTAACTATTAATTGATTAGCTTAACTAATTTGGCATCATAATGAAACTTTCACATGAACCCATCATCATACCTTAACTATTACTCCCTCCGTTTCAAATTAGTTGTCGTTTTGGCAAAATGTATCTGCAAATATTTGGACGTATCTAGACATGTTTTGCATTGCAGATACATCTAAATAATAACATATACATTTTCCCAAAACGACAATTAATTTGAAACGGAGGGAGTAATTGATTAGCTTTTAGAAAGGTATGATGAAGACTTAATAAAGAGGTAATGTTGAAGTTGGTGAAATGCAAAATAAAGATAAATTATAAGTTGGAGTATTTGGTGATCACTCAATTGAGTAAGGAAGGTTCTACTTTCGTTAACTACATAATTTTCTTATTGACAATAGAGATCTCTTTAGAGTTTAGATACAAATCGGTTTATATTATTTAATATCATTATTTTTTATATCTGATGTTAAATATTAAATTTTGTGGAACAAATGTTGAAACATTTTTGCATAACAAACAATTTTTTCAAAGAAAAATTTTGAAGAAAAAAAAATATTTAATCAAATGCATATATGTTGGGCTGTTGGGGTGACTTTCCGGTTGTCAAGGATTATGGAACAAATGGACGAAAGTCATCTCAACTTGTTGCTGGAACTGAGAGGAGTTAATGTGGGAATGGTTTTGTCCCAGTGACTCACTGGTGAAGTTAATGCATTATGTGACTTTCATGGTGATTTGGTTTAAGGAGATTCTTTTGCAAAGGCTAGTATTCACTATTAGTAAGGGGTTAAAGTTTAAACATATATTCATGTTCAGAGAACAGATCATTTGCGTCACATTGAGGTAAAATGAGTGGTCATAGTCACTAAGGGGCAATTATGTTGGAAGATGTAGTGTTCAATACTTGTTCTACAATTACTGACATAGACACATGAAGAAGAAGAAAGAACCAAGCAATAATCCCAGATAGTCTCTATATACAACAATGGTCACACTTACTGACTTAGACAACTAACGTCGGTGACTGTATTCGAAAATGTATGTTTTCTTTGTAAAGAAGGAATCTTTTTTATGAAAGAATTGTTACTTTTCTGCCAATATAAACGTTATAAGGAAAAAAAAAAGTAACAGAGAAAAGATGGTGTAGTTGAGTATGATATACATACGTACAAACTTTCATGAACAATTCCTGGAGCTGCCACTGTTGTTATTATTGATGTCTTCGATCATCATTCCTTTCAAACTCTTTGCCAACCAAATCGCGGTTTCTCGAGGCGAAACTTTGTTCTTCCCAAACGGCTGCAACACGATGGCTAACTCTTCGAGCCTGCTCTGTTCCAGCAAATCCGCAGATAGTTCCAATAGACCTTCAAGCGCCTCTGCCCTCTGTCTAAACGACTTGATGTCCAACGTCTCTTTCACAGCCGGAGCCGGAGTTGTTTCCTCCTCGGGCATGAACGAGTTTGCTCTGGTCTCAGCTGGTGACGAGTCGGAGCAAGAGTTAAAGCTCTTGGATTCTGAGTAATTGGTGATCGGGTCTGGCTCTTCAGGACGGGTCGTCGTCTCGGTAGGCTCTGAGATGATTGATGATGATGATGATGATCTCGTGGTGGTTGATTCGGAAGGAGTGGCGGCTACTTTCCTCACTTCCATTTCATCTCTCACAACGTTTATGAGTTTTCCGACGTCGACGTTCTGGACACCGACCTCGACGCTTTCCATGACCGGCTGGTCGCTCCCTACTCGGAAACTGCTGTGGCGGATCACATGTATGACATCGTCAACAACCGGATGAAGATGGTTGTTCTTCTCAAGAGTTGTTGAGTTCTGAGACGCAACGGTTGTTTTGTTATCTGAGTGGGAAGGTCCAACATGCATTGCGGCTGCTCCGGGAACAACAGAGGAGACGAATTCTTTGACTGTGAATTTATCATCACCGTGTTGTTGTTGTTGTTGTTGTTGTGAAGCGTTTGGTTCATAGCTTTGTAATATCGCAGGGCTAGTGCTACTTTCTTTAAGCACAGTAGGAGAGCTTCCTTCTGGCTGGTGATGGGAAACAGAGTTGGGGATTTCAGTGAGACGCATACTAGTGCTGTGTTCTTCTCTGTGGATCATCATCTCCGAGGAGATTTCTGGGAAGGAGGACGAGTATTCACTGTGGCAGGATCTTCGGTGGTCATCGGGAGTGGTATGTTGCTCTGTCATGTCGATATATGGTGTGGAAGCATCGTCGCAGAGCTCAAATGCCTGCATGGACAAGGAAGACGAGATTGAGTTGCTGCTTTCACTCTGCATTCCTTTGGAAGATCCAACAGAGGTTCTCTTAGGCTCCGGCGCAATCACAGGGGAAGCATGGAGGCGTGATTGATGAGAAATGGTTTCAGGCTCTGATGGCACAGGTGGATGTAGCTTCATCGTGTCCTTGGCCACCATATTTGGAATGTCTGCTGCTAATTGTCTTGATTGCGCTGTCAGAGAGATTCTTCTTGGTAAAGTAGGAGGTGTTCTTTGCCTTCGCTTAGCTGACATTGCCTCTTCGGCTTCGTGTTTAGCAGCAGGAGCAAGAGGAATTCTGTCGTTTCTAGGCTTCAGTTTTGGAGAAGAGTCGATCATTGGTACCTGCAAGATGAATTTTTCAGATGAAATCCTAAAGGATATGTAATAAAGTTTGGAATTGGAGAGAATGAGAGAGAGAGAGTACGTGATGTTTTGGTGGTATTGATCCTGGAGTCCTTCCGGAATCAGATGCTAGCTTTGACGGTGGGATATGCGTAGTTGCGTTAGTCTTGCTATGAGCAATGTCACCGAGTTTTGGAATCTTTGAAGGAGTTTCGATGTTGTTCTTCTGTGTCGGAACACCAGGAGCTCTCCCTCGATTACCTCTCATGGGCGAGCCATTCTCTCTAGCTTTCTCTTCTTTCAAAACCATCATGATGTTTCTGATAGTCTTCGGGTGCCTTTGTTGAATAATCTCTGGTCGATGGTCACTCTGCGAAGGCTTCAAAATCCCATGGCCATCTGTTTTCGCTGCTGAAACACTATGCACATTTTCGTTTTCAGCTGGTTGTTGTTGTTGCGCATGGTCGAGGATGTCTTCTTCATCGAGAGAAACTATTTCGGTCTCGGTGACTTTGTTACCATTACTTGGAGCCACATGTCGGTTGCTTTTTTCACTCACGTAGAAGTTATCTCTTTCGCCTGAACTATTGCTGTTCTGGCTTTCAGCCATACTCCTCCGGCCCTCACGAGAATTGAGAGGCTTTTCTGGAGTTATAGACGCTCCAGAAATGGCTGGCCGGTACTGCTCAACATATGGCTGCAAATAAGGATGCTTCAAAATCTCAGAGGCCTGAAACAGCAAAAAGAAGAAAACATATATGATTAGTTAATTTCACTAAGGAAAGCGAAGGCCTATAAGCCGACAGTTTCTGGTCCTAGAGAAACCATACACTTGGCCGATACTCGGGGTTCTTTCTTAACATCCCCTTGATGAGTGCTTTTCTGCAATATAACACAAATTAGAGTGAGAGAAATGTTATTTAATCAGGACTTTCCACACATTACACTTGCTGGAAATAATCAACTCATTTATGGATGCATTTTCTTATCCGCAAATCGCAAAATGTTCTGTTTTCTCCAACAAGACTTTGATTGGGAGTTGTTTTTCCTCAAATAAGCTATTGTAGTTGTTATAGATAAACATTGGCATACATAATTATAAAAACAGCACAAGCCTGTAGCCTAGGCATGGTATCTAACTATCTATGGATAAGGTGAAGTGTCTAATCAAGAAATATAGAAATAGCAGATTAGGCTTCGGATTAGAGAATCTTACAAAGATGGTGAATAACACGAAGGCAAAGGACCAATTGAGGAGCGATTAACTTTGCTTATAAGCCCTGCCATATCCTGAAACCACATATAACGTAAAATCAAATGCCATAAGGTACTATGAAGAGAGACACAGGATGCAGGGTAACCAAAAGTGATCCATTCATAAATATCAGTAATATACACAAGTCTATATATAGCTCTTTAACATTTTGTTCTCTTCTAGAAAAAAATTTTCTCTAATCAGTTGCCCACCAAACCACTAAGACACTAATAAAATGGAAACAAATACATGAAATATAAGCAGTATCCAAGTGAGACAAAGAACTTACAAAAGCTTTGAAAGCAGGCCGATACGCAGCCATCTCATATATACAACAGCCTGTTCAATAGCATAAAGTCTTAGCTTCAGTGGCAATAACGAGATTTTTATGCGTTACAAAGGTTAGAGGGTAAATATACCTAGGGACCAGATATCTGATTTAAAACCATAAGGAATATCAGCTAGCAGTTCCGGGCACATGTAGTTTGGTGTTCCAACAACCTACAAATAAATTGCCATGGACCCATGAGTCATAAACACCAAAGTCTTTGTTAAACTAGTATCAGTTCAAAAGTTTGAGAGCAATCCTAAGAATAATATATTATGAAGGTTATGGTGTTCCCTCTCATAACCAACTGTCATAAATCTTGGTAAGAATTATCTCTTTTCGATCTAGAATTCCTAAGAATTAGTTGTTGAAATGAGCAAGACAATAAATATCCATCATGTATCAAATTTTGTTGGCAAAGCTTCATGTATACTTGTAGAGCCACTCACTAACCTGCTAGGACTAATTCTTTCTCCTACATCCAACTTTAAATGTACTTACTACGTAGACTTTTACAACATACCGAAGAAGTTAAGTCATCCGCCTTCATAGTTTTGGCCAGACCAAAGTCCCCTGTATTCAGCACAAGGTGAAACATGTTTCTTTTAGAGTACTGATTACACTCTATTGCAGGTCAAATGAGGTGGATCACAAAACTAAACTTACCAAGGCGTACATCATCTTTAGTAAGGAAAATGTTGGAACACTGGAAAAAGCAGGCTTCAAATATAAGTCCATAAGGAAAAATTAACCATGACACAATGATTCAGATAACTAGCAATGCCAATTTTTTTACCTTTAGATCACGATGTAGAACATAGTTCGAATGCAGATACTCAACAGCTAATAACAATTGAGTAAACCACTTGCAGAGTTTCTACACACACAAACACAAAATAACCATGGCTTAGTACTACTAATCAATCACTAAATCATGTTTACTAGAGAAAGTTTCAGGTGAAAAGTATTAGTACCTCCTCAGGAAAATACACACCATTTGACTTTTTCATCAACTCAGCCCTGCCAAAAGTTTTTTCACATATTCTTTGACTTCTTTGTACAAACCAACAAAAAGGGAAACCTTAACTATAAAATATTCTGAGAAAGTAAAACTCACATGTCTCCTCCTTCACAATATCCAGTGACAATACAAACATAGCATCCCTGCAAATTTCAAATCAACCTCATAAGAAAAGTAACCAAAAATCTACTTGATTCCAGAAATATCGAAGTTGTAGGTATTATTAACTTACTTTCTCAACCCAAGCTTCTTTAAACTCCACGATGTAAGGATGCTGAACTCGTGCAATCAAAGCCATCTGGAAATCACACTACTCAAGTCAAAAATCACAAATCCGAGGCACAAATCAATTGGAATCTCGAAAAATGATTGTTCAAATTACCTCTTGATGTGCAGATCTCCGGCAACGTTCCGTTTGCCGAGCTAATCTGATCTTCTTCAGAACATACCTAAAACGCCAAATACAAAAATCGAAATGAAGAAAAAATCGCTGCAAAAAGCTTCGAATAGAGACAATGAGTGAGAAGGCATTACTTCTTTTTCTCAGCCTTATGATGAACGAGAATGGCGGCGCCAAACGCACCACGCCCGATCTGCTCCATGATCTCGTACTGATCCATACGAGACTCCATCGCTCTGCTCTAACTTTCCGTCACCAATCCAATCAACGCAAAACTTCGATTCCAAAAAATAACTTGCTTCTCTTCAACGTAATCTTAGAAGCAACTTGGTTTTTCCCTGGCCTACACGCTTCGTTTCTCCCTCAGATTCGAAACCGCTCGATATCGTTTAGCATTGAATTCGAAACGCCAAATCAAATTTCAGATCCAGACATTTTTTTGGATATGTGAGACTGACGAAAAACAGAAAATCTTTCCAGATTAACATGCGAAAGGGATTTAACGAGAAGAATACTGAATCTCTCTCTCTCTCTCTCTGGATTCGACTTCTCTCGTCGTTTTCTTCTGTGCTTAGTTCAGTTGCACAGTACGAATCTAGACGAGGAAATTTGTGATTCCTGGGTTTTCTGGTTTTTGCGAGATTTGGGGAACGAGTAATAAGTTAAGTGATTTTATTTTATTTTTGTCAACAGCGGATAGACTAGTTTAAACGTGTTATACCATTAATTAAATTCATTTATTGCACCATAAAGATTAGCTAAACATATGAAGTTTTTAACATTTTGTGTCTGTGTAAGGTAAAAAGTAAGACTATACAACAAATAGCTAAGAGTAAGAAATCTGAGAAATTGCTTGAATTATAAAAGACATTCTAAAAAGGACTAATTTTGTTTGTTTTCTTTTTCCAAAAATAGTACAAAATAGTTATTATCTTTTTTTCCCTTAAATCTAGTTGTAACTTGTAAGAAGATTTTTGTTAACAAAATAGGAAGGCTTCCTAAAAATAAGGTGATGTGTTTTGAAAATTTATTATTTTGTGGTAGTATTTTGAAGTATCTCTGAAAATGTAACTCTTTTTTTATTTTCTAAAAGTATAAATTAAAAATCTATTGTAATTCATTTTCTCATTAATACTATAGATATTTATAAAGGTAATAATTCAAATAATAAATGCTAGTTTGAGCTATGATCAATTTTATATCTTTAGATGAGAGTATAATCTAAAATTTAATTAAATTATATATATTCACTTAAAAATGGATTGACAGAAAAAAATGCAAGGTAATATATAGTATTTATATTGAAATTGAAATGGCCTATAATTTTTGGTTTGTTTGATATGCAAACGTATTTTTTTATTTGTTTTGCCTGTCGAAATTGCATTATGTTTTTTTGTCAACGGTAATTGCATTATGTTTTAAATTTTTAATTTAAGTTGGGCCATAAACATTCAATGTAAAATAAATAAAATATTTCTTTTTATTGGTTCAGACTTTAAGTGCCGACAAATCCAGCTGTTTTAATGGAAACGATACCTGCTCATCTCCTTGTCGCTCTACACCACTGTTACTAATAATAAAAATATGATTGGACAATATTTTATTTCAAGTGATGACGTGGTGGATCCCTGAACGTGACAAAATCCTTTAAAGTTTAAACTAAATTAATTATGAATTAGAGCTTTAAATCAGTTTTGTTTTTAATTCAGCTCAGAAATTAATAATACGTAGAAATGTCAATGGTGACTGAAACCTGAAGTTTGATCACAAGTTATTAGCATCTTAGGATATGTTTGGGTCAAATATGTATACGTTTTCTAGCCTCTGCAAATTGATTCAAGTGTGATGTAGCCTTATAGGTCAACTCATACATTAATCGTTGTTCCTTTTTGGGTCAGCCTCATATATTAGTCATTTATTATTGAAACTTTTGAATCGATATATAAGAGTTTATAGCACGTAATATTTGCATTTTGCAATAATGTGGAAATCAGATCTGATGGTATGGTCTGTCGCAGGAAATAAATAGACAGAAACTCCATATCCAACTGGTTTCTTTCGTTAATGTGAGTCAGTAAAATTTCTTTTTCACTTTCTCCCCAAAAAACTTAGATAGAGAATACTACTTCTGTCCAAATTGCAACGACTACAAAAAATCAGCTTAAATTTGGGCCCTTAATGAGTCTCAGACAAAGTCCACCAAGAGAAAGAAGCGTCAACTTCTTTTCAAAGTCCAAAAGCCCAAGAGAATAAAAACATTTAAAAACGATGAAAAAAAGAAAAGAAAAGAATTAGCGTACCTGATGACGTATGCCCAGCGAAACACCGCTGTATCCTTCCGGCGTCCGTGGAAGAGACGACGACGTCGACTATGACGTCAGTCAACACGTTAACCACACACATTCTTTTATTCCTTCCTTACACGACGACAACCTTAACCCTAGGCGACTCTTTTCTACACCGTGTCTTCTATATAAATACGAAAAAACCCAATTTTCTGAGAAATCCAATCGGAGAGAACATTCGAAAAACCTTTGAAATTTGAAGTCTGAAATCGAGAAAAAATGGAAAGAAAAGAATCGGAATCAGGAAACGGGCGGAGAGTGGTGGTGATCGGCGGTGGAATCGCCGGCTCTCTGGCGTCGAAACTTCTTCAATTCGACTCCGACGTCACCCTCATCGATCCGTAAGTTAAAATGTTTGGTTCTTAATTCCTTAAAAACACCATTTCGTTTCATCGTTTGATCTTTGACCATGAAATTTAATAACAGAAGACCCACACAGTAATCTAAAATCAACATTTGCCTACTGTTGTGTTTATGATCAAGAACAATTGTGTTCAAATTTCGTAATCGGATTGTTTAAATTGCATTATTGAGCTTACTGTTAGATCGTATTAGATGAAAAATCTCAATGAGGGTATGGCTTAATTGGTTTAAAGATGTTATTTTTCCGGTGATTCCGCTTTAGATTTGGCTCTTTTTTTAACTTGCAATGTGAGCTGAGATTTAGTTTGATATCAGGAAGGAGTATTTTGAGATAACATGGGCAAGTTTGAGGTCAATGGTGGAGCCATCTTTTGCTGAAAGAACGTTGATCAACCACAAGAAGTACCTACAAAACGGCCGAGTTGTGACTTCTCCAGCGGTCAATATCACCAACACCGAAGTAGTGACCGGAGATGGGGCTGTGTTTGGATACGATTATCTTGTGATTGCTGCTGGTCACACCGATGTTCTCCCCAAAACCAGGCAAGAGAAGCTATCTCATTACCAAGCCGGTATGATCTTGATTCGAAAGTTGCACACTTTCTTTCTCTGTTGCTTTTCTCAGTTCTTGAAATGTGAATGCATGACTTGAATGTGCAGAATATGAGAAGATCAAGTCCTCTGAGTCGGTTATGATTGTTGGTGGAGGACCTTCGGGTGTGGAGCTTGCTGCGGAGATTGCAGTCGATTTCCCGGATAAGAAGGTTACTCTAGTACACAACGGACCGAGGCTGTTGGAGTTCGTTGGCCAGAAAGCTGCAGACAAGGCGTTTGACTGGCTGAAGTCAAAGAAAGTTGAGATCATATTGAACCAGAGAGTGGATTTGAATTCAGCAACGGACGGAGACAAAACGTACAGAACGTCAGAAGGAGAGACGATACACGCTGATTGCTATTTCCTCTGCACCGGGAAGCCGTTGGCTTCGGAATGGATTAAAGGAACTGGTTTGAGAGATAGCTTGGATGGTAAAGGGAGGCTGATTGTTGATGAGCACTTGAGAGTTAAAGGTCGCAAGAACGTGTTCGCTGTTGGAGATATCACTGATATCCAGGAGATGAAACAAGGCTACATTGCTGAGAAACATGCCTCTGTGGCTACCAGGAATATCAAGCTTTTGATGTCTGGTGGAAACGAGAGGAAGTTGTCGAGCTATAAGCCTGGACCGGATATTGCTATTGTATCTTTGGGAAGAAAAGACTCTGTGGCTCAGTTTCCGTTCCTGACGGTCTCTGGCTGTGTGCCTGGTTTGATCAAATCTAAGGATCTGTTTGTGGGGAAGACGAGGAAGGCAAGAGGGCTTGATCCTAATCTTGTGGATTGAGAGAAATTCTGTTTTACCAGTTTTTTTCGTCATGATGAGATTCTTGTGCAGACGCATTTGGTTTTTGTTTTGTTTCCTTTTCATGTTTGTTGTGTGTTGATTTGGTTCACTCTTATGTTTCACAAGAGAGTGTGGTTTGTCTTTGTTGTATAATATACACTGTGTATTTAGTTTTTCAATGTCATTTTGTCCAATATATTTTCCAAGAATTTCCTTATTCTCCAAGAAAGATAAACCTCACTGGTTGTAAGTAAATCTTATTTCACACAAAACGAAACTAAAATAACAAGTTATTGATACAAAATAATTACATCATTCATCAATATGTGAACATCACTTTCCTCCACGATTCCATGGATAAAGCTTCTTCTCAGGCATGTAAAAAACACCATCTTTTCGAATCGAGTAACCACATACGTTGTTAGGTTGACAATAAGCAGATGTGTCCGGATGAATACCAACCGGAAAATTCACAAACCCAAAATTAGACCGGAGATGGCAATGCACGAAAGTGTGCCTTCTCAAGCCATCGTATTTGAACTGAACCACCACGTACCGGTCTCCTGGTTTGCTTTTCCTCCATATCTTATCACCGTTTGTGCATACAAAACCTGCGTTTTCATTGTTCTTCAGACCAAATAGATCATTTGAGATGACGATTCGCACAATTGTGTCTGGCCGTGTTTTAAACTCCGATTTGTAGTCTTTCTTATGGTACGCTTGTAAAGAGTTTACGACTAATAATGATGATATTTGTACAAGGAAAAAGATGAGAAAATTCGTAAATAGGGTTTTGGGATTCATCCTCGAATTTTGGTGTTCCTTTTTTTTTTGGATAAAGTTTTCTGATTGTAGTATTCTTGAGTTATTGTGTCTCAATTCTTGTTTATGTTTTTTTCTTATATAACTCAATTCTTGCAACTTCTTGGTCTTGTAAGTACAGATTTTTTAAATCCGTTTTACGATCGTTAATAAGTTTTTGTTGGTTTGTTGTTGCAATAAACTAAAATGAAGGGTGTTCGTTTGCTCACATATATGTCACCTTTTCATTTGTTTTTTTTTAATCGTTTGTAAAACTCCTTCCACATTTGGTAACAAATAACTATAGCAAAGCTAGCAATCGACTAAAAATAGTAACATAGTTTCTGTCATTAGTTTATATTTTGTATTTTTTTCATTTTTGCGAATGTATATTTATAGAAATTACAGTTTTCGGTTCGTATTTGCTGAGATATATTCCCTTTTAACTATAACAAAATTTGCCGGTGGTTGCTGGATTCAGGTTTGGAGGTGAGTGATTTACTGTCTTGTGCCAAACTCAATCTTTTTTTTTGGATATTCGCTGTAAAATAAACCATAAACAATCTTCCAAAAATAAATATTTGTTATTTTGCATATATGTATGATTCATTTTTATATATATTTTTTAATTACTTGTTTTGATGAAAATGAATTAAGTTGAGGAGGCAGGCAACATTAAAAAATTGGGTTATCTTAAATAAATTTAATTTTCTCTTAATTAATTATTATTTTTGTGAAATGAAAAAATCTCGGAGTCCAACAAAAAATAATTTAATTCCGGTAAGAATCGTAGAGACGGCCCACGTGCGTAAAGCCCAGAGGTGCAGAAGAGAGAATAAAGACGAAAGAGATAAACCCAAAGTTCGTTTCTTCTCCCCCCAAATATCCAAAGCATCAAATCCTTACCATTCTTCTTCCTCTGCAATTCACTCCCGAAAGAGAAGAAACAGGAAACAAAGATTCCTCCTTTTCTCGACAACCCCATTTCAAAATTAAATTATCATTGCTTGTTTCCTTGTTTAATGCCAATTCCCGTTCTGGGTTCTCTTCATGTTTGATCATTTTCTCACACCATCGCCATGGGAGCTCAGAAGAGCATCCACGCTGGCAGAGGTCACTCTATTTCCTTAACCCCTTCTCTTTAATCTCTGAATTATTGACATTTCTGATTTGGATCAGTGTTTATGTGATAATGTGTGCTGAAAAATGGTAAATTGTGGAGTTTGATTGCGGATTAATTTCAACCAATGGATGACAAATTGAAACTTTTTTTCCCAATTGATAGAGGGACAAAATTTGTGTTTCCATGTCACTTCTGTGATCAATCTTCATTTTCCGATGTGTAGATATGATTCTGTGTTTGTGTTTGGACTTGTGTATATGGTAATTTGTGAATTAGAATGTTGTAGACATGAGGATATATTGTTTTTTTTTGTAAATGTGACATTTTTTTATGAGAACATTTATTACTTATTATTGTCTGAGATAAGTCTTGCTTTTGAATGTTAGGTAGAGGTTAAGATTTTATTGTTTTTGAGCAAAAAGAGTCGATTTTTGTAATTTTGTTATTCCGGTAGTTGATGGTTGGATTGTGAATTTCTTGTTTTGTTGATTGCAGCCAAGATTGATGTCAATGTGGACTTCACTCACAAGCTTTGCACTTCTTTAATGTTTCCTGCTTTCAGGTTTACTCCCATTATCTTATCTTCAAAATTTACTCGAATACAATCGATACTCAGTGAAAATGTATCATCTTTATCTTCGTCCAACGATATTAAAGTAGAGTTTGTTGCTGTTTTCACAGGGACAGTAGCAGTCCTCTTTCTCTAGTGATTGGCAGGCAAGTTCCATGACTTAACTTACGTTCTGAATACATACTTATGCGGAGCTGAAATGGATAAATATCTTTTCGTTTTCGATTGAACTGTTCATTTTGGATCTGTTTGTTGCAGCCTGTGCATCAAACATCCTAATTTGTTTGGAGGTAGCGAGAAGCTTGACGTATCGTGGGATAAAGGGCTGTATGATTCCAATGTACTTGTGGCTTTTAGGAGACCTAGGCCTGAATGGCGTCCCCAACAGTGCTTCTTCATTCAGGTTCACAATAAAACATTAATCAGTTTGGATATAATATACTAAAATTTGTCTGGCTTGTGTTCTTGATCTTGAACACTACTATCTTAGAAAATGAATTTTCCTTAAATAATTTCTAAATCTGGCACAGCATTCTCTTTCACCCGAGATAGGAGTCCACGGAACTCCATTCGACAATTTTTCTCGGTCAGGGAGCGGAGGTGTAAATCTGTCTAAATTGGCAGTTGGTTTAGACTTGAGTGAGCCAGCGAGTTCAAAGTGGAGCAGCACAACCAGCGTTAAGTTCGAGGTACCTTCTTAAGACTGTAAAAACAAGTGGTGTTGTTCTCTCTACTTTGGAGTAAAAGATTAATATTTTCCATTTGATCATAGCATGTGCGTCCTATAAACGATGAAGGGCGCTCAATAACAAGAGATCTAGACGGATTTCCTATAACTTGCAGGTGATATTAGATGATATCTCTTGCCTTGAGATATGTTTCTTTAAGCTCTGGCGTAAAACTGATATTTACATCGCGTAGAAATCTTTGCTATACAGTGGAAATACACATGACAGTATGGTAGTTTTAAAGCAAGAATCTAAGTTTGCAAAGGCTAACGATCAGGGTCTTTCTCATGTAAGAAGCTCTTCATTTCTGGTTTCAGATTCCTCCTAGCGAAACACCGTAGCCATTTTCACACTGGTTTCTTGCTTTTCTTTTTCCAGTTTAGCTTGCAAATAGAGCAAGGTATTCCTGTTGTGTCCAAGTGGCTTATCTTCAACCGTTTCAAATTTGTTGCATCAAAAGGTGCAAGGTTGGGACCGGCTTTTCTCTTAGCAAGGTAATGACACTCTCTGTGTAGACAAGTTCAAGTAGGAGAGAGCTTTATAACGACATTCGAGTTTTTGGCGTGGCTCTTACCTACCTCTTGTGTGCCAGCCTGACAGGTGGTTCAATTGTAGGAGACATGGCTCCTTATCAAGCATTTGCCATTGGTGGGCTTGGAAGTGTCCGGGGATATGGTGAAGGAGCTGTTGGATCCGGCCGGTCATGCCTTGTTGCTAATACAGAATTGGCCTTGCCTTTGGTACTTGAAGCCATTGCCTGACTCAATCTTCACAATCATTCCCTGTTAAAGCTTTGACTGAGTTTTTTTTTTTTGTATGGTCCAGGTGGAACGGGGAAAACATTTGTGTACAACACACTTATTGTGTGACTGAGATCAGAAGGAAAAATTGTTCTACCTGTGGCTACTTCGGGAATAGTTGCAACATTATTACCAGAAGGAAGGACAGCTCATTCCCGATTCAAGATCCCAATTGATCTGCACGAGCATTCTATGTGTAACATAAAACCAAAAACGATCCTAGCTGAACTGATAGAGAACACGTCTTTGATTATATGGGATGAAGCTTCAATGGCACACCGTCATACTTTTGAAGCTTTAGACAGGACATTGAGAGATATTAAGAGGAGTGTTGACCCGTTGGCAACAGAGAAGACGTTTGGTGGAATTACAATGTTGCTTGGTGGTGATTTTAGGCAAATATTACCAGTCATAGCACGAGGGAGTAGGCAAGACACTGTCATGGCATCAATCAACAGATCTTATCTTTGGGACAGAAGAAATGTATGCTTGCTAAAGAAGAACATGAGACTGAATGCAGATGAAATCTCATTTTCAAAGTGGATTTTAGAAGTTGGTGATGGTGTTGCTAAGAGGGTATCGAGGCATTGGGAGGATAGCTTAGATACAGATATTGTTGAAGTTGAGAATGAGTTGTTATTACAGAGTACATCCGATAGTTTGGAGGATGTTTTTCGATCTACATATGTAGATTTTGAGAGGTTTTACAGAGAGAAAAACTACCTCCGCGAACGAGCAATATTAACCCCAAGAAATGATACCATGGATGAGGTTAACGAGTTCATTCTATCAAAGGGTCCTGGAGAAATGAAAGAATATTTCAGCTCAGACACCCTCAGCGATGATGACTGATATACACATATATTAACATACATTAGCATACATTTACATGCATATTTCCATCCTACTTGGCCTCATTCTCATACATTTACATCCACATATCTCTATCTATTCACTTGCATCATCATTAGGACTTGCATTGCATATACATTGCATTTTGAGTCTGAATCAGGTGCTTAATGGAGCTTTGGAGCCATTTGGGAGAAGGAGTGTCGGAGACGTCAAGACGAAGAGCAACCAGGATGCGAACCAGGATCAGAAACCCGTTTGTCGCCTTACAAGCTTTCCTTGACCAAGAAGAGAGTTGACCATGCCTTAATGAAACGCGGCGTTCTGGAGCTTAAATCTTGGGGAAGGAAAGAAGAAGGGTTTTAGAAGTCTCCACTATATAAACTAAAAAGTCCTAAGTTTTTAGGCATCTTGTAATTTGTCTTTCATTTTGCCACCAAGAAATACTCTAGTTCGAGATCTAAGACTTTGTAAGCTTTGGTCTCTTTCTCTTAATCAAATCACGTACTTGTTTATTTGCATTACTGTTTCCATCTCATTTTACTTGTGAAACAACCTTCCTCTTATGAGAATCGGGTTGTCAAACAGGATGAGTGAGTAGTCTTTAGATTGTTTTAGGTGATTCGGTTTTGAGAGCTTTAAAGGAGAGTTTGGGCTTAAAGCTAGAACCTTTAGAGTTTCTCCTTGCTTAGTGCCCTTAAGGCTGAGTCATTTCTGATCATCTTGGCTCAGATCTCAAGCTCTCAACACATCAAAAGTGTGTTTGAGAGCTAGATAATCTAAGACAAGGGATCCGCTTTTCTAGCTCGCGATAGCGATTTGTTTAGAAAGCTTTTTGGTGATGGGATCTGCGTTTAAAGCTTGCTTGTGTGTAAGCTCACTGACGATAGTCAGCTCTTGAGTTTACCTTGCATTCGAGCTCATTCACGATA